TTTGCTTGCTTATTCACTTGTCGAGTTTTGCTCTATTGGGAATAAAACCCAGAGCCTCACACATGCAGGGTAAATGCTCTACCACCGAGCCGCCTTCCTGGCCCCAAAAGGGATTTCTGAGCCACATTCTAATCTACTGAATGAGAATGTGAGAATTTTAGAATGGTCTCTGTGAAGGGAGGGAAACCAGAGAAATAAATGATTGTATGAAGGTAGAATCATTCTGGAAGGCTAGGGTTAGGCACGGACAGGAGTGGAGTGTGAGGAACTCAGCATTGAAGCGTGAAGTTTCTGGGGTGGAGTCGGGGCTCACCAGATCAAAGAGCCTTGGGTCATGATCCAATTTAGGGTAATACCTTGTGAGAATTTTTTTAAAATAAATTTTGTTGGGTCACCGTGAGATACAGTTATAAACTTTCATGATTACATTTCAGTCATACAATGATTGAGCACACCACCAGTGCGCATCTTACACCACCCTTGTTCCCAGTGTCCCACCCGCCACCCCCGCCCCATCCCACTCCCTCCCTCTGTGGCAAGTGCATTTCTTCTTACTCGCTCTCTAATTTTGGGCGTTATGATTTGCAATACATATACTAAGAGGCCATCATGTTTTAGTCCTGAGTCTACTTTCGGCACATATGTCCCATCCCGAGCGATCCCTCCAATCATTATTTACTTAGTGGTCCCTTCTCCATCCCAACTGCCTTTTTCCCTGGAAGTAGGGCCAGCTTCCAAACCGTGGCGCGATCCTCCTGGCCTTTATCTCTACTGTCTTTAGGTGTTAGTCTCATATTATGCTACTTTCCATCCCACAAATGAGTGCAGTCATTCTACGTCTGTTTCCTCTCTTTCTGACTCATTTCACTTAGCATGATACTCACCATGTCTGTCCCCTTTTGAGCATTTTAAACAGAAGATTTATCAGGTCAAATAGACACATCAGGCCTGTTCCTGTGTCGTTGTTCTAGTGTAGGAAGAGAAATCGTGAAAATTTTCAATAAGGCAGAATGAATAGAGTTGGATAAATAGAAATATAAGTATCATTAACAGTGTTGGAGTGATAGTACAGCAGTACTGCTGGTAGGGCACTTAACTTGCATGCGGCCGACTCAGATTCAATCCCCGGCATTCCATATGGTCCTTGGGGCAGCACCAGAAGTGATTCCTGGGCTCAGAGCCAGGAGTAAGCCCTGAGAACTGCTGGGTGTAGCCAGAAAACAAAACAACAGTGTTGTAAATCACAGGCCCCTGGGAGTCACTCCTGGGGATTCCTGGCCTGGCGCTGTGCCCTTGACAGTTTTCAGTGCTTGGGCCCCGAAGGTGGAAGCCACCGGGGTTATATCCACTGGTTCTTGGGGGATCATGTCATGACTGAACTCAGGGCCCAGTGAGTGCAAAGCATGTCGTCCTGGTTTTTGAACCATCATCCCAAACACTAGGTGGGAGATCTTAAGGCTTGACATCTGGGGGGCTTGTGAATGAATCCCAAGCTCTAGCTGGGAGATCTTAAGACTTGGCATCTGTGGGGCTTGTGAATGAATGCTGAGGAGGGGGCAACTGTTCAAAGCACCCCCCTAAAACAAACAGGGCCAGAGGCCTTGCCCCCACATCGCCTCGTCCTCTTGCTCTCTCAGGTGGAACACTCCCATCAGAAATCTGTTTCTGCTCTTAGGTGGTCCTGGGAGCATGTGCAGAGAGCCTGGGCCTCCAAGCTGGCCAAGGCCTGTCCCCGCCCACTCTATAGAGCCACGCAGCCTGGCAGACCCCAGGGTTACTATGCATCCTTCTCTCACGCGGTGACACGCTGCCCCAGCTGTACACACAGCATCCTCTAAAGTTCCACCTTCCACCCACTGGTCACTGGCATAGGCAGATTCCTGCCCGGCCACCCTCCCTCTAAACTGATGAGATGTTGGAGTGGCTGCGAGGGTCTCAGCCCGAGGGGGGCTCTGAACAGAACTGGCCTATTGTCAGGTTCTAGGCCCACTTCCTTTTCCTCTCCACCCTGGATTTTTCTTTGCTCCAGAATTTTTCACGTGCTGTTCCTTTTCTGTCACCAGAACAACCAGCATCATCTCCATATCCCCTTCCTTGTTCATATCCTGACAGACCCACCCCACCTCCCCATCCCAGCTCCACCACTATTCAGCAGAAAATCCATGTATAATATCAGACTTAACCAGCTACCCTTTAGTGTCCCTTTGGGATTGGTTCCAGGCACACACCTCACCACCACTACCACCACCACCACCACCTCATATCAAAATCTTAGCTACCCGAGTTCTTAGATTTAGATATTGATTGGTGGAATCGGTGGGTGTGACTCAACCTGATCTAGGAAAACTGGACTTATTGGTGGAAAATTTGCATTTTAGTGGATCCACTATAAAATCCAGCTCCCGGAAGTGCGTGGCCGCATTTGCGGCTGCGCGACATCTTATCATCTCATTCCTACTGTGGACAAACTGGCAGGCTACCGAATGTAACCTGCCCACACGGCAGAGTCTGGAAAACTCCCTGAGGCGTACCCAATATGCCAAATACCAGTAACAATGGAGGTTCTCATTCTCCTAACTCTGAAAGAGCCTTGAATATGGCACTTTTTAAAAAAAAAATCTCAGGGCTAGGACGAAGGAGACGTTACTGGGGCCTGCTCGAGGCAATTGATGAATAACAGGATGGTTGTGATTGTGATTGTGGATCCACAAATCACTTGGTCCAAAGGGCACACCTATATCTCTTTATTGTGCTTATCATATCAGGGCTTACATTTTTGGCTCTAATCTTTCCCTTTATTAAAGATATGGGCGGATAGGGTTCCTGCCCCAGGGAGATTGTTTCCTCCCAAACACTCACAATAATGTCTGCAGGTTCAATAAAGCTGTACTGAGGGGGCAGACAGAGAGACTAAAGGGAATAAAGTGTTTGCTTTGCAAGTGTCCCACCCCAGTTCGATCCATGGCACTGCATATGGTCCCCTGAGCACTACTAAGAGCAATACAAGAGCAAAGAACCAAGAGTAAGCCATGAGTACCACTAGGTAAGGCCCCCCTATCCCCCCCATAAACTTAATTACAATAAAGCTGTACTGAGAGAATTAAAACGAAAGCAGTTTTAATCTAGATATTCACATGCAGCTGGTACTTCCAAGTAGAACCCTGAGATTTATTTCAATTCCTATTGATGCTTGCTTTAAAATACAAAATTGCTTGGCTCACAGCTTTTATGCTCAACTTTCCTGAGCCATAAAGCAGCTAGAAGTTTAAAAGGACCATTGCTTCCTGCCTCTGTCGAACTCATTTCACCTAGAGTCCACGATTCATTGAACTCTTGATTTTATACCAAGCTTATAATCCTGACAGTCTGGTGCATCTTGAAATGTAATTTAGGCAGAGCACCCCAGAACAAGGGATTATAAATTTAAAAGATAAAAATCTACCTTCATTTTTCTATAGGGGCCATTTGAGACCAGGATGGGTCCGTGCCTGGGTCTTGGGACAAGGTGCTTCTGAGGCTTTTTGGTGCTGTGAACATCCAGGGTCACCCTGGTACTTGTAGGTCATGGGGTTCAGGCATCAAATGAGGTCTTGCAAATGCAGACATGTGCTCTACTACTTGAGCTATCTTGCTGGCCCTTTCTTCCATCTCCATTCTGGCCCTTAATCATTTTTCCCTAAGAAAAAATTTTTTTTTGTTTTTGTTTTTAGATCACCCCCAGCAGTACTCAGAGCTTACTCCTAGTTCTGTACTTAGGGATCATTCCTGATGGGACTCAGGGGACCATCTGTGGTTCCAGGGATTGAATCCGCACCAGCTGCCAGAAGACAGCTTCCTATAGTACAATGGTCTTACTCACTATATCTCTAGTAAAAATGCAATTAAAATAAATAAGGAATCATTACTGGGAGCCGGAGTAACAGTATAGCCTTGCACATAGCTGACCCCGGTTCAATACCCAGTACCCTATATGGCCCGAACCTGCCGAAAGTGCAGAGCCAGGAGTAAGCCCTGAGCATCTCTGGGTGTGGCACCTTCGAACCCCCAGGGGTCATCTGGGCCAGACAACTGAGCATATGCTTTGCAAGCAGAGGTCCAGATTCAAATCACAAACAAAAACAAGATTAACAATAAAAGAACATCCTGAGGTCATTTTTATGGGGTCTGTTTCCTCCCCTCCTTCACCACTTCCTCAACTCCCCCCCCCCCGCCCCCACCTCAAGTCCCCTTCTGATTTGTTGAGCATGATCCTGGCTTAGTTTCTGAACATGTGACAATAAAAAGAAATGAACTGAGAATCAACCACATAATGAATCCGAGGTGTTTTGGGCAACGCCTGGTCCAAACATAAGAACATTCAACATATATGACAGCACATGTTACCACTCTGTGTTCTTCATGCTGTGTTCATACGCACATTAACTCTCATAATCAATAACATTGCCCCTCAGCAATCACGGTATCTAAGGATAATTTTTTGGAGCATTTTCAGTGGTTTTTCATAACAAACAATACAAAATATATTATTTCAGTTCACTTTGGGACAGAGATTGGGGTTCAGGATGGAAACATCTGAAATATGGTGGTGGAAAGGTATAATGGTGCTGGGATTGGCGTTTGAATATTAAATGTAATAAAATATTGTGTGCTACTTTATAAATTAAAAAAAATTTAAAGAAAAAAAAAAGAAATGGGTCCTCTGAACATTGCGAGAGGGAATGGCGAGCATGCTGTTGGTGTTCCTCCTGGTAACAGTTCAACCCTTCTTACTTTTTGTTTGTTTTGTTTTGTTCTGTCTTTGGTCCACACTTGGCAATGCTCTGGTGATACTTGTGGCTTTGCCCTCAGGAATTATTCCCAGCAGAGCTTGAGGGACCATACTGGATGCCAGGGATTGAACCTGGGTCAGCTACGTGCAAGCATGCTCCCTACCTGCTGTACTATCGCTCTGGCCCCAGAGCCTTGTTCAAAGAACTGACTGATTTCAAATTCTTTCGCAGATCCGACGGTCATGCAGGACCTCCTGTGTCCATGAGGGGAGCCCCTCCGGTAAGTGCCCTCTACACAAACACGCATGCTCAGGAGTTCAGAAATATATGGGTTCTGCTTAGTGCCCTACTAAAGCCAAATTCTCCCTAGCTCTGGCTGACATTCATTTCAGCTGCTTAGGGTGCTAGAGAATTCAAAGTTTCCCAGTCATGATTGACTTCCTGTTGGCTCTGGTACTGTATGTTTCCAGAACAGGCTCTGCCTGGAAGGTCAGGCCACCAGGTCACCATGGACCCACTCACCTGTGCAGTTGGCATCTCTGGTATCAACTGTCACTCCTGCCAAGCCCTCACGTGGTGCCACTTTTGGGAGCCAGTGTGGGTCTAAGCTTTACCTTTTTCTGCTAAGATCTTCATGTCATTCAAAGCAGAAGCACTGCAAGGTGAGATGTGTTTGGTCAGAACAAGTTCATAGTAGGGGCCCTTCCAGTAACGGCTCAAATTCAGATTAGTCTCTGTGCTCACATGCTGACAAGGTCAGACTTCCAACTTTCTGTTCGCTGCTTCTTCATGGTGGTGACTTTTGGTCTACACATGCCTGTGTCTTTCTGGGTGATCCATGTGCTTTGGACATGATTTTAGAGACTTTGAGCAAGGATCTAAAAGGACTGGAGAAGGAATGGAAAGGTATTGTTCAATTTAATGTGGCCCCAATCCTAGTATCTACCTTTCTCTCTCTTCTATTACAAAAAGCATGAGGTAGAATCCTACAGGATGACATATATACATATATATATACATAAAAAAAATAAAGGCCCTCCCGTTGATCGTCGATTTGCTCGAGCGGGCCCAGTAACGTCTCCATTGGAGACTTTGTTATTACTGTGTCTGGCATATCGAATACTCTCGGTAGCTTGCCGGGCTCTCAGAGAGGGGCGGAGGAATCGAACTCGGGTCGGCCATGTTGGCCGCTTGTAAGGCGAACGCCCTACCCGCTGTGCTATCGCTCCAGCCCATATGTATACATATATACATATATATATATGTAGTATTCACTTGAGCAATTCTTCACTTAAGGGAAGAGGGAGAGGCTGGAGAGATAGTACATTGGGTAGGGCACTTAACTTGCACGTAGCTGACCTAGATTCGATCCCCAGCACCCTGTATGGTCCTCTCAGCACTGCCAGGAATGCAGAGCCAGGAGAAACTCCCGAGCATCATCAAAAACAAAAACAATAAAAAAGGGGAGCCCACTTTTCCCCCCCAAAGAATTGCTCCCTCTTTTTGGATAAAAATATCTACACTCCTGGGGGCTGGAGCAATAGCACAGTGGATAGGGCGTTTGCCTTGCACCCAGCCGACCTGGATTCGATTTCCAGCATCCCATATGGACCCCTGAGCACCGCCAGGAGTGATTCCTGAGTGCAGAACCAGGAGTAACCCCTGTGCATCGCCGGGTGTGACCCAAAAAGAAAAAAAATATCTACACTCCTCTGAGACATCTTTCTCATGGCACCATGGCACCATCACCAAACACATCACTCTAATGGAAAACTCATTATCATCCAGGCATCTTATCACACCACTGAATTCCAAGAGGAAGTCACTACAGTAGACACTATTTAGTACCCAACCCATTTTGGAGATGAGGAAACTAAGATCTGGAGAACTCAGAGATCAAAGTCAAAGCCACATCTGTATATGCTAGCTCGGGATTAGAAAATTGGGTCTCTGTCCCTCCATAACCAGACTAGCATTCATAGCCATGACAGTCACCAGCTCTGATTACATACGAGCTCATTTGCTCACCTCCTGCATCACCTTCTGCATCACTTCCTTGGATGGAGCTGTAAACAGAAGGGCACGCTCCCAGCCTAGCTCTTCGAGGAGAGAGGGTCCTACTCCAGGAAGCATCTGCATTCCTGCTTTTTCTGGGAGAAGAGCTCAGAGCTATCCATCTTGTAGTTATGAGAGCCCTGAGCCCTGGGATTGGAAGCCCTGGGATTGGAGGCAAGTGAAAAGAAATAAAAATAGCCAGGGTGGGCAGAGCGATAGTACAGCTTGTAGAGCATTTGCCTTGCATGAGACTGACCTGGGTTTGATCCCCAGCATCCCATATGGTCCCCTAAACACCACCAGGAGTAATTTCTGAGTGCAAACCCAGGAGTAAGCCCTGAGCATCACCAGGTTTAACCTAAAATTCAAGAGAGAGACAGAGAGAAAGAGAAAGAGAATAGCTTTTAATAAACAATAGAACTCTTTTAGTGGGGAGGCCTTGGGATTTGAAACCGTCTGAGGAGGAATAGAAACTTTCCAACTGATGCTCTTGATTGTGGTTTGCATTTAAACATGTCCTTGCTCAAAAGCATGTCTGCCAAGAAGGGAAGGTAAGAAAATAAATGAAATATTGCTTCCAGGGCAACCAACAATCTTGTTACAGTGGGCAGGATTGGAAGCCAGATATAAGGAGAAAATGATTGCAGATAGGAAAGGAAGGGAGGGAGAGAGGAAAAAAGGAAGGAAGGAAGGAAGGAAGGAAGGAAGGAAGGAAGGAAGTCCTAAGAGTGGGAAAAGTTCCATGATTTTTTCATAGCTTTCTAACTCAGGAGCTAAGCAAAACCTTTTTTATCTTCTCATTTTTTAAAGTTCAAAGTTGTTTTTTAAAATTAAATTTTAGGCACCATGACTTAGAACACAGTAAACATTGTGTAGCTTCATGCATGTGTTCCAACACTGCACACTCCTCCATTGACCAACCTCCCACTGTCACCCTCCACTCCCCACCCCACTCCCACCCTGTCCTCACCATGATAAGGTCAGTTCTGTAGAGCAGTTCTCGCTCTGTTGCCTTTGGCCATGTGTTATTCCCTAACAGTCTCCCCTCTTTGGGATCCCACTAACCCTGATGTCAAGATGGGGGCAGACAGTTAAGATGACGGTGCCTCTCTCCTTAATCTACCTGGCCCAGCCTCGTGATATTTGCCTTCACATTCCACTCAGTGCAGTTCCCTGACCTTACCCTGCTTATCTCCCTTGGCCCTGGTTATTCCCTTTGTAAGTCCAGAAGGCAGGAGAGAGCCATTCAGGAAACTGTCTAAATCAGATTTCATAGGACATGGAGTTTTCTTTCATTTTCCCATGGACATCTTATCTCCTAATAACTTTTGAGCTTCAGGGAGGTGGAAGTTAGCCATTAAAGCTCCAGGGATTCTGAGATTCTTGGCAAGATTCGAGTTAATAAATTTCTAGTGGGTAACCTGGCATTAGTGATAAAAAGAGGGTTCTGGCATTTTATAATGCCAGAACTAGCATATGTGTGACATTGATTTTAATCTCTAAATTCTCTACATCTAAGGGTTTTTTTTCTTCATTTTTAAAATAGGCTGGGTACCAAACAGAACCTACTGCATTGATTTCCCCTTGGGATTCAATGACATTGTTGAATGACCTTGCACTGAAAGAAGGAAGCTGTTGTTTCAACATCAGCCTAAACTTGCTCTGAATGGAGGAAGCAGAGTCTCGGGGAACAGAATATTTGAATATTTATGGGGATGGGGGGGTGGGAGAGAGAGACAGAGGAGAGAGAGAGAGAATGAAATTAGCTCAGAGTTCCTCTCAACCTCAGCACTATTAATATTTGGGGATGCTTAATAGCATTTCTTTGCAAACAGAAACACTCGACTGCATGCATGCCAGTGTCTCTCCTCCACTCAAGGGTGTCAATCAAAACCACTTTCCCCGCCCCAAAATTACCAAACATTCTGAGGAATCAAATCACTTCCAATTGAGAGTCATCTTCTTACAGGTGAGGAATTGGGTCCAACTACTCACTGTCTCTGAGAATAGGCAAAGCATCTGGCCATTGTCCCCGGTCAGTCCTCATCTCTGAACAGATTCTGATGGGGGTTGGTATCAAGTGACATTCCAGCTCTGTAACCTGAAAACATCTCCATGGTGGCAGTAGCCTCCCTGGCCAGTGTAAACTTCCTGGGGCCATGACTGTGTTTGCCCATTGGCGTTCCCACTGCTGAGCTTGCCAGGAGCATTCAGAAATGGGAAGAAGGCATGAATGAGTGTTTTAAGCCACATAGTTCTTTGTTGTATCTGGCCTTGCAGGGAGCAGACACAGAATAAATTCAGGAACATCTTGAAAAATTAATTTGTTGACTCTAACAAGACATCTGATAACATCAGTGAGCTTAGATTTCAGCTCAGGCGGCTGTTTGGCAGGTTTGGCCGCCCTAGGAAGTTCTTAATTACTCTAAGGTTACTCCGAGACAAAGGGTTTGTTTGTCTAGTCATGTCAGAACTGCAGACATCAGTGGAGTGAATTGGGGTTAGATGAAAGGCCTCCAACTGCTCCGTCTTTTTTGATGATCCAAGTTTGAGAAGGTAACAGATTCTAAAGACAATATTTTGAAACGTCTAATCCTGTGGGGTACTTTTCTAACTCATTAGGTTGCAAACATCAATAGCAATTCTCCAGGAAATACCCAACAACCTCAGAAAACAGTGATGGCTAACAGTAAGGACTTTAGGCTGAAGAGATTGTACCATGGAGAGATAGTACCAGGCGTTCAGGTGTTTGCCTTGCACATAGCCAAACCTGCTTCCACAAAAATGGTCCCTTGAACATCACCAAGTGTGGCCCCCAGATCCCAAAATATTAAGAATAAGAACTTTCTTTTTTTTTGCAGAAAAGTTTTAGTGCAGGCCTCACATATGGGAAGCAAGCACTTGACCACCGAGTGACCTAACAAGAAGGACTTTCTAAGTGCTAGACTAGAGACCGTTTCAAGTATTTTACCACCATTCATTTCATTCCTGCAGCAACCCCAGGCAATGGGGGTGTTGCTGCTATTGTTATTTTCATGTTTATAATTACTTTATTTTCTACCAAAAAAGTGAATGCAAATAAAGATAAAGTCATCTGACTAAAGTTATAAAGCTATGAAGGGAAGAGCCAGAATGCTGACCTGGATAGGATGCATATGACTAACCCTTGTGCTTTCCTACCTCAGACATGTTTTTATGAGTCTAAATATCGCAAATATTAGGCATCTCAATTTTCATAATGATCTTTACTAAAACCTTAGTGTCATTTTCTACCCTGATCTATATAGTAAATCAATCCATAAGTGACAACATTGTGCAATAAGGACCAGGAATATAGGAATCCAATTTTACAAGTGCAAATCTAAATCCACTTCTTTTTTTTTATAATTTAAAATTTTTATTTTTATAAAGTTGTTCTGAGATTATATTCAAGGCTAATATAATCTCAGGGCTAGGATGAAAGAGACGTTACTGGGGCCTGCTCGAGGCAATCGACGAATAACAGGATGATGAAATGAAATGAAATGAAATAAAGTTGTTCATAATAATTGATTACATTCAATGTTTCAGCACCAATCCCACCAGCATTATACCTTCCCACCACCATTATTTCAAAGTTTTCCACCACCACTCAAGTCTGCCCCCACGGGCAGATGCGATGCTAATGTATTTTGTATTGCTGAGCCCACTTCTTATTCATGTGATATTCCTATGATTTGTTTTCTTCTCTAACTAGGGATGATTATCCCTGCCTAATTCACAAATTCATTCTAAGAATATAATGAAAGGCGATATTTTAAAAGTATATTGAAAACTGAATAAATGAGTAGTTTTATTCAAATTCAGAGTAATTGATACCAAATGAGTGTGCAAGTTTATGTTATAATAATGCAGAAATGGGAAATTGTATTAGGGCAAGAGTAATCTTGGAATTCAGTTCGGTAAGCATTGGTGATCTCTCTTAAACTGATGGATGCCACGACAGCTTGGGCTCCAGCACAGAATACTGTGCTTTCTTAGCTATTTTACAAGTTTGTCCACTTTCAGATCCTGATTCTACACTTGTCTGTAAATCCCTGGTTTCCCAGATCAGAGTGGGATCTGACATTTATGAAAGGGAAGAGGGATTGAGGTCTAGTGATAAAGAAATAGGAAGAATATCAACAACTTAGGGATTAAAGAATACGTGTGTTTTGCAAGGAGTAGGCTCTTATCTTTGATCAGACTTTGTAGGTATAATACCCAAAGTGTATAAAATAGATATTTTAGGCAATTCATTCTCCCAGAGAGAACTGTAGAAGGATTCACAGAAATGGAGATTGAGGAACTGGACTCTGAAGGATGAATTGATAGTTTGTTGGAGAGGAGGAGAAACAAGAGTGCAGGAGCAGAGAGGTGGAGGCCTGGAGGACGAGCATGACATTTGAGATAACTGCGTGCTATGAGTCTGCCCCAGCGGTTCCCAAGGAGCACTGAGGAGGAAAGGCTTAAGTCAAATATTGGGACTGGAACTGGACACTGTGTTGCTGTCTAGGTGTGTCTGAACTGCACTCTCTCAGTGAGGAGTAGGAAGTGAGCTTCTCTTTCCCAGCAACTTCTTGGCACAGGATGCTATTTTGAGGGGATTCTCCAAGACACAATTGACTGAGGATCTAGATTTCTGGGGACCCCGAGGGCTCTACCTCTGCTGAAGGAGGCCAGGAAACTTAGGTGCTTCAGCAGTTCTCAGAGGTATGCTTGGGCTTCAGAGAGGCCCTCAGCAAGGCCACAGTGCACTGATGTATGATGAAGTATACTCCCAGTATGATGAAGCATACTCCCAGAAGATAGCAGGAGCTCCAGAACATGACAAGCCAGGCATGAATTCTTCCCATCACTGTGACCTGAGGCCGAAGGCTTGATTTCTTGAAATCCCATTTTTCAAGGACAGTTTTCTCAAAGTGGAAATAATAGGACCAACTTCATAGAGCAGTTTAAATAATGAGGCAAAGTGCCCTGCAAAGCTCTAAGAACACGGTCTTGAATGGGTGATGTGCACGTGCTGCTAATGATGATGGTGATATTCACACATAACTAAATAATTTCCGGCCTATGTCAGATATTTTTCATAGACTAGTAGTTATTTTTTTATTCCTTGCCCAAAAATGCCTGGGCGGGGTGGGAAATCCTTGCGAAGTTCAAATTTAGTTTCAAGAACATTTCTATTGTTTCTTAGCCTACAGCTTACGTCCCTGTGTACTGAAACATCTGACTGGAGAGTGAGTGGGCAGGGGCAGGTCTAGAAGCAGAAGGTCCGGGCAGATACTTAACCAAAGGAAGTTGTGGTCAGGAGTCCAGCTGGTTGTAAGAGTTTAAAGAGCCCTCAGTTATGAGCATTTCATTTCAGTACAAATTGTCATTACAAAAGGATGTCCAGAAGGAAGGTGGTCTGGTTAACCCGGAGGAAATGTGAAGTTTGTTTGGTTTTAAAGTGATGAAGAGTCTGTGATGCTTTCTATTCTCATGTGGATCTACTCTACGCAAATTAGAAAACTGCAGATCTGGGGGAAGTGGATTTCCAAGATCCATGACTCAGTTCTAATAGCACAAATAAAGACTTGTAGTGACAGTTGGTAGGGCACAAAAGACAATACCTTGATGCACTCTAGAGAGAAAAGAATTTAATTAAAGCTGTTATAGTTTCTCAGGTGACTCCATCCTGGCTATATGGCTTCCCATTGGAATCTCATTAATTCTCTATTTGCTTATTTCTGAATTAATGTATTGGTATGCTAGTTATATCTAATGACCAACATGTGATCATTGGAATGTTTCTTATTAATAAATCTCCATTATGTGTATCCAGTTAGACATACCTATGAAACTGAGACCCACAAGTAAATTATATTAGGCAGGGATTCTACAAGAAATCCCTGACCTCAATCCTAAGAAAGGAAACAGGCAGGAGTGACAATTGTGAAGATTATAGGATTAAGAGAACCCAAGTTTTAGAATTGGATTAGCCTGTGATGAAGAAAAAGCAGAGCTTGGAACTTTGGGAAGCTTAGACATTTGGTCTTAGAAATGAGATGAGATGACATGTAAGGTAGCATCAGATGGAAGGGGCACTCTGAGGAGGAGGAGGAGGAAGAGGCAGAAGTCCAGGAACTGGAGTGGGAAATGGCCGCCTGCCTCGTTCAGGGATTAGTGCAGGATGAGTTAATGGGGAGTCACCAGTGAGAGAGCCAGTTTGACACAGGAAATGCAAATGGAGTTTTGGCAAAAAGAAAGTGAAGGCGTGGCACTGGTTGATTCCTCCAAGGTTATGAAGACAAATTAAAGCTTGAAAGTAGGGCAGTGATGGACTCGATGAAATCAAGATAAACATTTACCAGTCAGGAAAGGAAAACAACTTCAGCTCAATTATTCTCCTAAATCCTATAAGACTAGCACTAGTTGTTGTTATTATTATTATAAAGTCATACTTTTCAGGATCTTTGTTCCAAAATTGCTAATCAGCTTCTAATGGTTCCACCAATTCTGCATCAACTCCAGATGAAAACACTTTTTTCTAAACTCATCAAGTTCATAAATCTTAAGATTCCCTACAAGCCTCAACTAAGCAGCCTTGGTTGAATAGGTAGAGTGAGAAGGCGTCTAGAATTCCAGATGAGCATTAAATGGCTGTGACATCTGTCCTACCATTCATGATCAGGGTTGATTCAGCCAATCTGGTGGCCTAGACTGGTGTCCCCATTCTCCCTCTCTGTTCTGTGAGCACCCCTCTCACCCCTCATTGAAAGAGGACAGCTTTCTTCGAATAGAGATGGACCTTCTTCGGTCAAGAGGTTATAAGTAGCTGTGCTTCCCTGCTAGAACCTTCAACAAGTTCGCAAGGGAGCTAAAATGCCACGGGCCAAGGAGATGACTTAAAGGACCAGCGCATGTGTTTTGTGTTCAAGCGTCCTGGATTCACTCCCCAGCACCACATGGTTCACTAGGCACGGCCAGATGTGACCGCTCCCATAAAAGAAATCTAGGGGCTGGAGAAATAGCAGGATTTTGGTTTCCACCAAACCCCATTCAAATCCCTAGTACCCATGTAGCCAGTACCCAGGGAACCAGCAGGGGTCACTCTTGAGCAGAGCTGTCCGGGCCTCTGAGCACCACAGGGTGTAACCCCAAGAAACAAACAAAATTCCAGAATTCCAGCCCTTTAGAGGCATAGAGACCAAACTGCTAATTCGAGAGTCCATTTCCTTCCTAATACTTATGTAGCCCTGTGTAAATATATAGGACTTTGAGAAAAAAGACTCAATATCTTACATAAAGGCTCGGGCCAAAGGTATTAAATGCTGATCACTTGATCACTTGACTTGACTTCCCGTTAATCGTCGATTTGCTCGAGCGGGCGCCATTAACGTCTCCAGTAATTACAAAATCAAATGCTGATATGGAGACATTTGTGCTCACATGAATATGGCAAAAATAACACAACTTCCCAAGCTGAAAACTGAAAGTGGGTAAAAAATTGTTGCAGTCTTTAGACTAAGACTTTTATTATATATATATATATACATATATATTATATTTTTATTAGTGAAACACCATGAAGTACAGTTGTAGATTTACAAATTTTTGTGCTTGGGTTTCAGTTATACAATGATCGAATACCCATCCCTCCACTAGTGCCCATTCTCCACCACCAATGATCCCAGTATCCCTCCCACCCACCTCCATCCCCTCCAATCCCACCCTGCCTCTGTGGCAGGGCATTCCCCTAGACTAAGACTTTTAGCCTGGGAAGTTATTGTGGAAACATGAGGTACTCTGGCCAGAGAAGATTCATAAATTAACATTGCATTTCCTATTTTAAATTTAGCAGACAAAACTCTACAATTCCACTCTGAGAAAGCAAGTGGTCGGCAGTGCATTCGTCCCCAAACCTGTAGGCATGAGAGAGGGCGGTGGTCTGCCTCCCGGGGGTGCCTCCCTTCTGGAATTTTTCCAAGGTAAGTCTACATTGCCTCTGGAGCTCTTGGTACTAAAACAAAGCAAATAATTACAGCTTGTATGCAATTCTCAAAACACATCGAACTTGGCTTCTTTGTTTTGGTCCTGTATTTTTGAAGTTCTCCTTCTGGTAAATGCAATTAACACAAATATTAAAGACATGTAAATGTAATCAAGTCATATTCTCATTCCCAGGCCTGATAACTAAATGGAATGGTAATTATGTCTAATATTTAACTTCAGTTTAAAAAAAAAAGGAAATATATCTCTAGAAATAGAGCTATAAAGCTGACTCTTCTTAATGGGCTTTTATTGTTCCTGATTAGAAGTCAGTGCACCTGAGATGAAATCATTAAAACAACCTAGTAGAACAGATCACAATAAAGACTGAAACAAATTCCAAAAGTACTGGGTGTGCTAGGACATTTTTTCATCAACTCAGCTCACCTTATCACCAGATGATTCCATGGCAAAGGAACCCTGGTCATTTGAAAGATGAACTGGGAGGTTGGCTTTGCAGAAGCACCACCTCCCCTAAGCCCTGGAGTGGAGAACCGGAGAGTGGTCAGTGAGGGAACAAAGGTTCCAGGCAGCCAGGGCCACCTTTGACTGATGCTCCTGGCAGTGAACTTGCTTCAGAGAAGAAGTCCAAAGCGAAATCGTGCTTCATGCCCAGACTTTGCTAGCGGAGAGGAGTGTCTGGCGGTGAAATGAAGAAAATGACGCCACCTCCCCGAGACAGAAAGAGAAGCCAAAGAGAAGCTGCTTGGCCTGAGAAGTAGTAAGTTGTCAGTGTGAGCTTTTAAGTGTCTCTGAATAACTTTGAGTTGCCACCATGGGATGTTAGAGATATAAGGAGGATCCCAGGTGATTTGACCTCTTTTATTTGGGGGGGGGAGGAGAATCATTAAAGATTTAATAGAAATAATTTATAAGTTATATTGGTATATCAATATCAATGTATAAACTTACATTTTTCATTGTCTGGTTTCATTTAAAGTAATAACTTTAAATATGAGTATATGCCCTGATTGGATTGTTTTATATTCTTTTTTAATTTTTTTAAATTTTATAAGTTAGTTCACAATATTTGATTACATTTAATACTCAAACACCAATCCTAACACCGTTACACCTTCCCACCACCAAATTCAGGAGGTTTCCATCCCAAGCCCCAATCCCTGTCCCAAAACACAACCGAAATAATATAATTAGTATTGTCTGTTATGAAGAACTGCTGAAAATGCTTACAAAAACGTGATTATATAGGAAACAGTGTGAAGACTGTTCTATTTGGGCAGGAGACATTAAGCCATTATTCTGTAGGATATCACTAATATATTGTTAAAGTTTGAGTGATGTGAGCTTTGGTATATATATCTAAAACTATGTATATATGCATATATATATTTCCCTCTATGATTTGTTTCCTACTGTCTGAACCCCATCAAATATGGTAATTATGGAGAATGGGTAGGGAGTGTCTTATGACGTGTTGCGCGGCTGTGTGGTCCAGGAATATGTTCACCCATATGTGACGTTTAGCCCAAGTATGTGGGAAGTGGCTTTGAGCATGGCGGTGGTTGGGTTGTGGAGGTTTTCGGCTGCTGGGGCTGGGTCCCGTGGGGCAGGGAGGGCTCTCACCCACGCCCTTCTGGGGTGCTCCTGAGTGAAACAGCCTGGCACAGAGTCGGTGGCATGGCTATGGGGGACTCATGTTATGCTCCCTTCCGGGAGAAGTAGCTGTGTGATTTGGATGGTGGCTGATGAATGAGATTATCTGGCGCCAGCAGGAGGTGACTTATGGGTGTGGCCCCTGGATCTCCAAAGACGAGGGGGGGGGGGGGAACGGGCAGACAATCTCCGCTCCTGGGTCCCATTGATCCCAGAGTCCAAGGGATTTGACCTCTTTTGTTATACTTTCTGATACTTTTTTGGTTTGTTTTATGTGGGGGTCACACCATTTGGTGCTCAGAGCTAACTCCTGGCTCTGGGCTCAGGGAGCATATGTGGTGCCAGGGATCAGAGTCAGGTTGGCTGCGTGCAAGACAAGCACCTACCTGCTGTACCCTTGCACCTGTTCCACTTTCTGGCACTTTCTAAAGTAGCCACATATCCACTGCTTTTGTAACCAGAAAAATATTTAAGAGGGGAGGCAACAGTGAACAGCTTAAAATGAAGACTGAAAAGCAAAGATATTTTATTCTAGTCTGGTAAAATGCAGTTGCAGGAGCCAGGGAGATAAGCTGCAAGTCATATGCTAGACCCAGAGCTCCGTCCTTTTTTCAGCCCCCAGCACCGCCAGGTGTGATCCTGGTAGTCCCCAGCTCTGCACACCAGCTGAGTATCACTGGGCATGGCCCCAAGATCTCCTGAGCACTGCTTGAGAGTCCCCCACCAAATGAATTTTTAAAAGACAATTTCAAAACTGTTTTATTAAATAGTTTTGTTTGCTCTTAGTTTGTTTTTTCCTTTGCCTTTATATTTTGGCATTGTTTGATCCTTTTATTTGTGGATATGAGGAATTTTTTAATTAAAAACATTGACAAACATAAGACAATCTCGCTTATCGGTGGTATAGAGAATAACTGGTTGAGGAAATGGAATGCAGTAAAGGTGGGGCCAGTGCCTAGATCAGCCTTGAACCCTGAGTATAGGAAGGAGGACAGAGAAGGAAAGAAATCTTCAGTAATTTAAATAATCCCATCATGGTTTCTGTTTTATTCTCAGGCCACACCCAGTGGTGCTCAGGGAGAACTCCTGGTCTTGAGCTCAGGGATTACTCCTGGTGGAGCTCCAGGGACCATGAGGGGTGTCAGGGATGGCATCAGGATTGGGGACATACAAGGCAATGCCCTGCCTGCTGCTGCCTCATAATATTTCACATACCATGTTTAAGTTACCTTCACAAACACCATTTTATTTATTTTTAAAAAAATTTTTTTATTAGTGAAACACCATGAGGTACAGTTATAGACTTATAAATTTTTGTGCTTGGGTTTCAGTTATACAATGATCAAGGACCCATCCCTCCACCAGAGCCCATCCTCCACCACCACGGGTCCCAGCATCCCTCCCACCCTCCATCCCCCCCCCCCCCCCCCCCGTCCCACCCTGCCTCTGTGGCAGGGCATTCCCGCATGTTCTCTCTCTCTTCTTTTGGGTACTGTGTTTTGCAAGAGAGGCATTGAGTGGCAATCATGTTTGGTCTGTAGTCTACTTTCAGCACGCTTCTCCCACCCTGGGAGGGTCCTCCCAACACCCTTTATTTGGTGCTCTCTTCTCTATCTGAGCTTCCCTTTCCCCTAGCACGTGTGGCTGGCCTTCAAGTCATGGAGTAAAATTCCTGATACTAATCTCAGCCATTCCTGGGTGTTAGTCTCCCTTTTTGTTGCTTTATGTTCCCCAGATGAATGCAATCTTTCTGTGTCTATCCCGCTCTTTCTGACTCATTTTGCTTAACATGATACTTTCCATGTAGTACCACTTGTATGTGAATTTCATGACTTCATCTTTTCTAACAGCTATATAGTACTCCATTGTGTAGATGTACCAAAGTTTCTTTAACCAGTCATCTGTTCTCGGGCACTCAGCACAAACACCACTTAAAAAAAAAAAAACTATCAATTTGTATTTAGTGTCAATGGACTCCAGTGACATATTATATATAATACATAAATGGCTCTATTTTTATTCTGATAGGTTATTCCTGGGGAAAAGATATTTATATTATGTAACTACAAATTAAATAATGAGCAACCCAGGGCTGGAGTACAGGGGTTAGGCCGCTTGCCTTGCATGCGGCCACCCGGATTCAATCTCAGGTACCCCACATGGTCCCCTAAATCCAGCCAGTGCTGAGTGCTGAGCCAGGAGTAAGGCCTGAGCACAGCTAGGTGTGGCCCTAAACCTTAAGAAAGAGGGAAAGAGCAATCTACTGAAAATAATCCTATTATGTGGCTGAGATTCCTGACTGTAGTCCCAATAGACATGAGCCCTGGGCTCACTCCTGAGAGAAGAGGAGACAGCAGATTGAATTTTCATATCCTTACAATATTAGCTCACAGTGAAATCCTCATTCAAGTTTGTTCAAGAATAAAACAGAAAGGCAGACTTTTATGTCCTTGAGGACGTAGGTTGTATGCATAGACTCAAAGGACAGGCTGGCTGGCCCACAGTAGCTGTGTGACCTCAGTTACTTTCTTCATCTCTTGCGTCTCAGAGAATTGTAATCGTGCCAATCTTATAAGTTACTTTAAGATTTAATAAGTTGACATACTAAGAACTGTGACTGACACGTACCAAGTGTCATTTTACAGGAGTACTAAAGGTAAAGGTAAAGGTAAAGGCCCTCTCGTTGATCATCGATTTGCTCGAGCGGGCCCAGTAACGTCTCCATTGGAGACTTTGTTGTTACTGTGTCTGGCATATCGAATACTCTCGGTAGCTTGCCGGGCTCTCCGAGAGGGGCGGAGGAATCGAACTCGAATTGGCCATGTTGGCCGCTTGTAAGGCGAACGCCCTACTGCTGTGCTATACTAAGGGGTCTTAATTGTTCTGGGAAAAAAAAAATCTACCATATAGGGTTCCAATCCATCCAAGTAAGTATGGTTAGGAATCAGATGCTAAACTGTTGGTGTTCATGCTATATTCCTAGTGTTACAACCGACAAAGTACATGGTATTTCTACTCATTGCTGTTACATGATGCATGCATGACCCCTTGAGCTCAAAATCAGATGATCTTAAAATATATATACAAGGGGGCAGAGAGATATTACAGGAGGTAGGCTGCTTGCCAAGCATGCAGCTGACCACCAACCGGTTCCACCACCAAGAACCTGAGCATTGTCAGGGGCCACTACTGAACACAGAGCCAAGAAAAGACCCTGAGCACTGCTGAATGTAACCCCCCCCCCACACACACACACACACTCATGAAAAATCAAACAACATAGCCAAGGACTGGGGAGAGGGCCCAAAGGCTGGAGCACATCATTTGCATGCAGGAGGACTGTATTTTATCCCTGGTACCCCAAGACCCCCTAGAGTACTACGAAGAGTCATATCCGTGGCACTGTTAGGAGTAGCCCCAAGCAGCACTGGGGTGTACTCCCTCTCCAAAATATTATCAAGTCTACTATTATCACATGTTGAATAGCACTGTCCTGTAGCACTGTCCTCCCATTGTTCACTGATTTTGCTCGAACGGACACGAGTAACATTTCCATTGTGAGACTTGTTACTGTTTTTGGCATATCGAATACGCCATGGGGAGCTTGCCAGGCTCTGCTGTGCAGGCGGGATGCTCCCGGGCATCTAGAGGGATGGAGGAATTGAACCCAGGTCAGCCACGTGCAAGGCAAAGACCCTACCCGCACATAGAATAATAGTACAAAAATAAAATTATAAATGATTAAAGGTAAAAGGTAAAGGTAAAGGCCCTCCCGTTGATCGTCGATTTGCTCGAGCGGGCCCAGTAATGTCTCCATTGGAGACTTTGTTGTTACTGTGTTTGGCATATCTTCGGCAGCACATAAATGATTAATTCTTGGAAAAGGGTCTTGGTCTTGAATAACTCAAATTGTTATTATGCCATAAAATCTTATACCAAAAAATAACTTCTATTTCTCTTTTAGTTTTAGATGACTTGGATAGCAAACTTGCTGAGGAACAATCTTCAAATTCGGTAACTACTGAAATGCCTCTCAACTATGGATCAAGAACACAGTTTGGCCATTTGCACCCCAGTGAGAACAGACATGGGAGTATGACAGGAAGGCAAAAGAATCGCTATAATGAAACTTCGAATATGTCCATCTATGACATCTTAAGACCAGGAACTCCTAGAGAAGGTTTTAAAACCTTTTCTCCTAGAACAAGGACAATTTATGATATGTACAGGACACGGGAACCCAGAGTCTCAAAAGAAGATTATGTGCCAAAGAATACTTTTGGCAGTACTTCTCTATGTCTTGACAGCAGGCAGCGATCAGCCTCACAAGCTCCAGGGCATTTCACAGCCAGAAGCTTATATTTTCCAGGCACAGCTGGGAACAAGAGTGGGTTTATATTACCAAGCCACCAGCAGAGCCCAAAGAGAACTCCATTATCATCCATCATCTGGAACATATCAGATCCTTCTGAAGATAGGCAGAACCAGAAAGAGTTCCTAAACGAGACATCCCCCATGGATGTTGACCCAGACCACCCATCTGTATATCCTCGATGTTTTCAGGAAAGTACGAGATATGAATTTTACCATTCACAGAATGTTTACCAAAATGTCAACTTTCATATGCCTATGGATAATGCAATGAGTTCTGACCCATTTGAGAACTCAGAGAATATGCCATTCTACCCTCCAGACAATGCATTTGCTAGGTCTTTCTTTAGCAATACCTTTGGACGAAGCAGAGAACAGAGATTTAGACAGAATCCTTTTTGGGGTCAACCGGAAGCACATTCTCCCTGGTCAGACTTTAGAAGGGAACCATTTACATCTTCTGACCGTGACTTTGAAATGACTTCCATGGAAGCAGATGGTGCCTCCTCCATTCAAAATCACAGTGTTTCCTCTCAACACTGGGAATCTTTTTCTTATAGCTACAGAACTGATATTTCCAGAAACCAAGAAGAGCTACATCCCTGGCACTTTGGTTCTGAGACATCCACACTTGAGAACATGGAGGTGTCACAAGATCATGGGGACCAGGCAACTCTTCATTTTGACACGCCAGATGTTTTCTCCACTACTGGCTCAAGCTATCACATCAAATCTGGTGGATCAGAATTTCAACCGGACAGTTATCCTAGAGAAGTTCCCATAAACAAAGAACCCTACTCATTTGGAATGTCTCAGTCTTCATTTAACACTTCCCTCCCCCAGACTTCTGGTGGCAAAAGGAATTCTCCAAGCTCCAACTTTCAGAATCCCAAAGTCACTCTGCAAAAAGTTGTTCCCAGTAAACCTGTCTCTGTTCCAATAAGAAGCTATACAGAGGTCACTGTGACCAACAGTGACTCCGTTGATTATTTGCCTCATACTGAAAGCCAACCCAGTGTCACGGCCAGAGAAGTGAATAATGACAAGGATTTGCACGAATCCAATTTGGAAAAAGACAAAGAGCTAAGAAAAATGGGCCAGATGAGCATGACAGGAGAAATCCAGCATCCTGTTTCACAGATGGTAGACTCTCCCCGCTTACCCAGTACCCACAGTCCCCTCTTCCAGAACTCTGCCAAGAACAACAGTTTTGTTTTCAGTGCACCTTCCACCGTAAGTTCAAGAAGGTCACCAAGAATCCATCCTAAGAAAGATAACCCCAGGATATATACATCACACAGGAATAAATCCAATGAACTTAAAAAAGATAAGACTTGGACCGAGAACAGAAAGTTCAGCTCAGCAATTTCCCTTCCGTTGAGAACATCATCTTTCCCCACCCCCAATCAAAGTTGTCACCAGGAACGGACTGTAAATAATGAAGATATTTCAGGTACTCTTCAAAATAACCCCTGGAGCTCCAACCGTACTGGCAATCCAAAAGCACTGTCTCTAGAAGAGCCTAACCGTGAAGAACAATGGATCACAGCCCATTCTTCCAACAGCAGTGAGTCAGCTGCAAGCCAGAATAGCACCTACGAGTCCCCTGTCCTGCCTATACTGCCAACTTCCTCACCAGTAAATGATTCTTCCTCAGATACTCTGATGAGTCCTTCTACTACAGTATTCCCCAGGAGAAGTCCCTCAGGGCCATACCCATTTCTGAGAGGAAGAGAAGGAAAAGATAGTGATAGTAAGAACCAAAACAACCAGTTTGTCCCAAATTCCTCGGAAAATCAAAAGCGAAATGATAGTTGTAGACCTCTACAAGGTGAAACGATGGATGCTGTCCAAGACTCCTCCCATTCTCCTTTAATGGACAGAAGGGGGAAAGGAAAAATAAGACGGCATATCTCTTACATTGAATCATTAAGCAAAAAAGGAAGTAAACCAACACCCGGAAGAGAGAGACATAATCTCATGGCGGTGAATGAAAATAATTCTAAGGCTTCCCAGCCTCACCCTGTTTATTGTACCTTTCCAAGAAAATCAGCCAGTGCTCTCTTCAGTAGCAGGAAATCTGAGAGTAGGGCAATGGCTTCTTCATTTACGGGTGGGACACTTCCAGTCCCAATAAAAAGTAACACTGAAGATCCAAGAGAGGGGTCCACTTCTCACAGATCCAGTCCCTGCTCTTCTGAGTCGGACAGGGAAGGTTCCAAAGTTGTGGCTATCTTAGTTCCTGTGGTCCCCGAAACTGGAGAGGGGGTGGAAAATGGGAAAACCGTCAAATCTACTTCTGTTGATAAAAAACCACTTCCGTTTCTTGAGCGGGCCATGTCCTGTCCCTCAGGGGTACCACTGGCCTCCACTGGAAGGGATGAAAGAGGAAAATGCTTTTCATACGGAAACAAGTATGCCTCTGTTATAACACCAAGGCCTTGGGAGAGAGTCATCAGACCTCTGGAAAGGGCTTCATCTCTCAGGGGTGGTTCTTTAACCAAAAGATCCCAGCAAAATGAAGGCTTCCCAGGAGGCGCTGAAAAGGACAGTAGAGCTGCTGCCCCTGGGACAGGCGGACGCCCCCTTTCAAATGAAGACCCTTTCCCTTCTGATATGTCAGGAAAGGAAAGTGGGAAAACAGTGCAGAAATTTAAGATGACCAGTACTCTTTCAGTTTCTAGTGATGAGGCGAATGTCAAATGTTTGGAAGTTGTTTCCGTGTATTATACCCTACCAAGGCAACAGAGCCAAAAACTCGGCCACTTCCTTCAGGAGTTTACGCAGCACATGGAGTCACTTACAGAGCCACCTGTAGTGAGGACCGAGTCATCTCAGGACCCTATAGAAGATGAACCAAAGGGTTCTGCGCCAGAGCAGTCAGGAAGCCCTTCCCCTGAAGACCTGACAATGCAGGTCGGCTCTGCTCACCGGGGTCACCATCTTTCCCAAACCGCTGTCAAAACGACTGACTTGCCACCAGCCAGAAGTGGGGCCTCAAGAGCCTTTCTGCCGCGAATGGCTTCTTTCGAGGCCGAGGCTTCTTTTCAAAAAGGAGACTCTAAAACCAGACAGATTGTCCCAGATCCCTTACAGGAAAGTGATGCACAGAGCACGAAAGAGAGAGGGGAAGCATTGGAGAGTAAAACCCTGCAGCCTTCATCAGGGCTTCGAGGGAAACTAGCAACAGAAGAGAACTCTGATCATCGCCCGCCTCCCATCAAGTCAGGTTCCAGAGGTCCTTCTGAGCTCAGAACCTGTTCAGAAGGGAATATTGGAAACTCCCCAGTGGCAACAAGTTCTGAGGAGTGTGCAGGGAGTGATATAGCCAGCAGGGCAACTGGGAGGGCAGGGTATGTTCAGGAAGATGACCGTGCCAGTGGATCGCAGCTTAGGGAAGTCAGAGGACAAACTGGAACACGTTTCCAGAAACAAGCCAACACAGCACCTTGCGACTTACAGAGCCAAGTCATTGCTCTTACCCCTGCTCTCCATAAGCTACAGCTTGGTCAGGCGTCCAGTGAACCAGATATAGAGAGTTTGCAGTTTGAACCCAGGGAAATATCTCAAAGAAGCCAGGAAGTAAACAGGACAGGGAACCAGGAGGCTCAGAGGGAAACACAGAAGTTGGTATGGAATCAACCTTTATTTCCTGGAGGAAGTAATCAGAATGAAACCAGTTTGGAAGACCAAGAAAGGGAGCAAAACAGACCTTCAGTCAAACACAGATTGGCAGCCATGTCCAAAGCAAACCGAAATTTTCCGGCTAAAGTTTTAAGCCCCAGAAGACATGTAGCTACTATCTTTCCCCAGAGACAGAACAGTTCAGACTTAAGTGGCTTGTCTCTCGACATGCCAGAGTGCAACCCACAGTCCCCTGAGCCTACTCCAAAGTCCACAGACTCCAGAGAGGAAAACAGGTTGAGTCATGATGGAACGGATGCGGAGATATCTGGGCGTGCCCTCCAGGTTACCGTACTGTCCAACAGAGAAACTTCTATGCACTTAAGCAATCAAAAGTCTAACAGCATTTCACCACCACCTCAGGATGAGCTCAAAGATATCTCAGAACCACCACCAAAGTGTGAGAATTCAGAAGAGACAACAAATGCTCAGCCTTTGGACAGAGAACCAGTAACCCCAGCCTCACCCACATTCACCAACCTGGGGGCAGCAGATTTCTTTGACCCCCCATTGCCGTTGAAGGCTACGCTGGAGTCCAGCATCCGGCCAGTCAGTTATCAGCAGCAGCAACAGAGGCATGCTTCATCTCTGGAGTGGGAACCCGAGCCGAACCCCTATCGCTCTAAGAGTTTAAAAAGCGTCCGTTTGCAGGGCTACGGGCTACGGAAAAGTCAGCCTCCAAGAGTCAGGGAGCGCCATTTTTCGGAAAACACTTCTCTGGACAATGCCCTGAGCCGACTGACCCTCAGGGAGGAATTCCCTACCAAGAGTGGGTACAATCGAAGATTCAAATCTTTTTCCGAACTCTCCTCCTTCGATGAAAATGAGAGCTGGACTATGTATAGTGACAGGCCAGACACAGGACCCCGGTCGGCAACATCTATCTCCAGACCTATTGACTATGGGATTTTTGGGAAAGAACAACAGTTGGCTTTCTTGGAGAATGTAAAGAGGTCCCTCACACAAGGAAGACTGTGGAAACCAAGTTTTCTTAAGAACCCCGGTTTTCTGAAAGATGAAATCATTAATCCTGAGAATCCGGGGGAGTCTTCGAGCTCAAAATCTCCCAGCAGTCAGGTGCCTGAGGAGGTCCTCTCCCCAAGCCCGTCACTAAATATCTATGAAGAGGACACAGCAGACTCGGACTGTGACACAGACACAACCACAGATGATGAGTATTACTTAGACGAAAATGACAAAGAGTCAGAACTGTGAGGCTTGGCCAGCAATGTCTAACCTTTCTACCAAAACTTTGTAAATGGAAAAGTGTAGCTAAATGTATCTCTGAGAAGCTGTTTAAAAAATAATAATATTAATAATAAGTTCTTGCCTGCACAAGAACTGCTCTGAAACAACCCAAATTCTCTTCTCTTCTCTTCTTCTTCTTCTTCTTCTTCTTCTTCTTCTTCTTCTTCTTCTTCTTCTTCTTCTTCTTCTTCTTCTTCACACACACACACACTCTCTCTCTTTTGCTTCACAGCATCTGTGCTATATATATATCCACACACACACACACACACACACACACACACACACACACACATCCCCAACTAATTCATCATTCACTGTTGTTTCTCTGCTCACTTTCCCCCTGACTTTTTTTTCTGCATCTTTCATTGTGATTCACAGCCTTACTATAACTGGCACATAAGAGGTTATCAGTTGCTGAGCATAAGTGCAGAATTCTGCATTGTTTCCTCTGAGCCAAACATCCTATTCAGGTCATTAAATACAATGTAGGGATCATAACAATGGAGTAAATATTATCATCCATGATGTATAACTCACCAACATGTAGGAACTCTAAAGTTCTGACTTTTTTTCCTGCATAATGACATCCTGTTTTAGCCATTGTGGACCCAGGAAAAATCTGAGTAGTGTTGAGGTTGTAGATAAGGAATTGAATCCCTAGTAAGCCTAAGAATTCCAAAGAGAGTCATTGGAAATTGTTTTCAGGGACTGGCTCACTTATGAAGGGCTCAAGTTTGAATCAAGTCAGAGACTTGCAGTAGGCAGCCCAATGGTACAGAAATTGGTTTGATCATGGAATTTCTGCTGAGAAAAAGGAAACAAACAGAGGAACAGAGAAAAGCAGACATATCATTTATGAAAATGACTCCTTACTGTGCACTCTACTACTCCTTACTATAGTGCTCTCTGCTACTCCTTACTATTGTGCTCTCTACTTCTTACTGAAAGCAACTCTCTTTCCCCATTTCTCCAGAACTACCATTTACGGTTTTACTTGAAGCTTAGAATTATTTTACCCCATGTGGACATTTTATCTACCAGTATCAAAGGTAGACTTAGTTATGTCACTGAGTCTTTTGATAGAGATCTGATAGCCTGGGATTCATAGGCTTCTTGGCGGAATAACTTAGCAAACCCTGGGGAAATGATAAGGCAGGACTTGCACTGTGGGTTTTTCTTTTTTTTTTATTAGTTTGCAAAAACTAATCAACTCCTCATACTCACTGGGCTTTCCTAGTTCTCATTGCCATGCAGAACTTCTGGGCATTCCTAATCCTCCTGATTAATCAGAATAAAAATTGTAAAGATGGTGGGAAAGACAATCTTCGAGAAGTACAGACAGTCTGTCCCCCTGGATATTAGTTCCTACCAGGAGGAAGGGGATGATGTCAATGGATTTTATCCTATTTGATTCATATTTGCTTCCAGATATAATTTTATTTTCTATTATCCTTAACTATTCGGTTTTATCCAAATTAAGGATAATGATAGGTGTTGTTGAATTGTATAAAGATCAGAAACTGAACAAAATATAAGAAAGAACCATGTTATTATTATCCTCCTAATCGCTGCCTTGCATAGAGGCAAAATGCCAAGCTTAGTTTACATTATATTAATGAAGATGTGGTAACTAACCTGAAAGCTATTCCTTAAATTTGTAAATTGTTTTCCACTTCATGTTTTGCCCAGTCTTGAGCTCAGAAAGACTGATAATAGAATTTGACATCCACTGTTGTGAGTTTTTCCAATTTAAATTTGTAGGACAAAAAACAAATATTTTATTCTTTGTTTTATATACACTTGTAAATTTTCCATTTCTGTTTTTTTATTTAGTTTGACATTTAAGTAAAAATATCATAAACCATAACCTTCTTTCCATATCATTTACTGATATTCAGAGTTGACATTTTAATATGAATATTTATGGTTTTTTTTGATGATCTGCTTGCAAATTCTACTTTGGTTCAACACTGTGAGTCTGTATGTGCTCTGACAGGTGAACTGAAGTTAGATTATTTTTCACTGAGATTGGGTTATATCAATAAGTAGGCAAGATAAGGTGAGAATAAAGATTTACTTTAGGGCTCTGATTGTCTACACTAGAATCTACTATCTGAGTGCTCATTTGCAGTATTTGTAATGTTTATTTGTTGGTCTGACTCAAGAATCAAGAAAACAGAAAATGTATAAAAATAGCACCTTCTCTAATTTTATACTTTTATACAACACTTCGTTAAAGAAGTATAGCAAATTTCTATGTATTTTAACATACAAGCTGCTGCATTTTTAATGTTCAACTTTGGTATAGCTATAGTAATTTATAATAAAGTCATTTTTTTACTCGTTACTTTTTTTCCAAATATAGTCTTTATTAAAATACTCCAATAAAAAGAGTAACTCATACGAGAATACTCTAACTTGAACATGAATAACTTGTTTAGGTGACGGACTTTATAGAGACATAAATTTTATACTGTACAGTCCATTTAAAATAGGGTTTAGGAGATTATTTCAATTTTTAGACTTCTCCCTAAATAACTTACCCACTTTCATTGTAAATACACTAATGTCAATTACACTTGGCCTGCCATATTAAGGTTTGGGCTGGTGGAAACCTGGTCGTAGGTCCTTTGTATGCCTGTACTGAAAGTGGAAAAAGACAGTCTGGTTAGGTTATGGAAAAGATGGGAGTCAAATTGAAAACTCCAGCTTCCATAAAAGTAATATAGTTCGTTGAATGTCAGAGGGCTTAACGACTTTACTGTTAAGAGTTTGTTATTAATAGTAGTATTCATGCTTCACAGTATCCCATTTAAATACACAGTGTAAATATGTAAATATTTCCTCTCTCCCCAAGTTCGTGAATGTATTGCAACTTAGGGGCACGTGTGTGTTCCAAAGCAAATATGCCTAAGCACTTTTGTTAAAAATTTGTCAAATAATCCTTTTGTGCAGTTATTCTCAAACCTGTTCTCTAGATAAGCAGTATCTTACAAGGTACAAATTTAAAACAATGCCTGTGTTAAAATAAATGATTTAAACAGATGCACTATTTGACTTGGTTTTCATTTCCATTTCAACTAATTTCTATTAAGTGCCAACATATTAGAAAAATTCAAGAAGAAGAGGGGAGGGAGAATAAAAGCACTCATGTAAACCTTTCTGATCACCACTGAAGAAGGATTTCAGCCCTGAGAGGAGTTTTTGAAAAGAGTGTTATGGGGGCCAGAAAGATAGTTCAATGGGCCGGAACACATGCTTTGCATGTGGAAGTCTGGGCCCCATCTCCCCTCTCGGTACCTCAGAAACTGACCCCCAGTGCAGCTGGGTGGGGCCCAAGAACAAGACAAAACAAATGGATGACTTGAGACTGGGAATAAAGCTCAAGAGGTAAAGGACAACCTTCACAAGGGTGAGTTCCTGGGTTCAATTTCTCTTACCACATAAAGAAACAATTTTTGTTCTCGATTCTTGGAAACTGTACTAGTAGAATTTTAGCATTCTACTAGCCTCAATTTTTCCCTCTAAACTCATGATTTCTTCTCTTATCTTTCTAGATTATCACATCACTCTAGTTTAGAAGTATTTGTAGAAATATTAAGGAGGGATGTGGTAACTATTTAAATGATTATCTGCCAAGCAGACGCCTTTTCATTCCCTTGGGAACTTTATTCTCTGACACATCAATGTCGACCTTTTTCATGCTCGCTGTGGAGAAATGAATGTTCGTACAGGACTTAATTGATCACAGGTGATTGGTTTAAGGATGAATATCTAACTCGGACTGGCCCAATGAATAATCGCACTTTAGGAGAAAATACTCCTATATTTCAAGGTTTAACATCCAGATGCACTATGCATTTCTGAATAAATTGTCTCACAGTCTAATATCTTCCTTACTAATGAATACAGGTAAAGACAGGCATTGAACAATAAGGTAAATTTGTGTACATTTTTTGCATTTATAGAATCTAAGCTTGTCCAATTGCATATTTGTTTTTTTATACTTTTGTATTCTATCCTGTTTTGTTTTTTGAGGGCGTCACAATATGTACCTCACTTGAAGGTGAAAGGGAGCTATTCCCTTTTCTGTGATTGGGGGTCACACATGATGATGCTCAGGGAAACATTTGGTGCCAGAGATCAAACCCAGGCCTCCTGCATGCAAAGATGTAAATTTTACACAGAAGCAATGTGAAGAGTGTAGGAATCAGTGTGATGCACAGAAGTTTGTTAAATCTAGATCTTCCAGAGCCACTCACAGCTGACAATTCTCCACCTGAGACTGGAATAATATAAAGATGCCCGTGAATGGGAATAGAAACTTAGAAAATTTCAAGTTTTGCATGTCACCTTTTTCCTGCTTGGAAAGCCCTTCTCCCTCTTTTCCTGAAGCAGATTATTTCTTGTCCTTCCCATCTCCAAATAGACATGCCTTCTTTCAGAAAGTATCTCCTAATTTCCCAAACACTGGGTTTACTGGCCCTCATAGGATGGACTTATATTGGACGAAGCAATCTGCCATGTTCCTGAAGACTCCTGGACATTATTGTCTGGGTGGTTATGCCAAAAACACAAGTCCTTCTCCCTCTTTCCCTGTGCCACTTCTCAGGGTTGGTTTCACAATAAGCTTGAAAGATCTTCAAGCTTATTGTGGACTGAGAGTCTTATCTTCCTATCAACAATGAGCAGGCTTGTTCCCCTTTATTCTTTTTTTTTTTTCTTTTTGGGTCACACCCGGAGATGCTCAGGGGTTACTCCTGGCTCTGCACTCAGGAATTACTCCTGGTGATGCTCAGGGGACCATGTAGGATGCTGGAGATTGAACCCAGGTTGGCTGTGTGCAAGGCAAATGCCCCCCCACTGTACTACCACTCCGCCCTCCTTTCCCTTTATTCTGAAAGTGGTGATCCCCTAAACTCAGGGTGCTTCTCCTGCATTTTACTTCAGGCTTTTTGCATTGTGTCCATGAGACCTGGGCACATTCGTAGGGTTCCCAGAACAAAACATCATGCAGTGGGGTAGCTTCCTCATCAGAATTCATTTTCCCTTACACTTTTTGTGGCTAGAAGTCCAAAATCAAATTATTGGCAGATCAGGGAAGTAGCTCAGTGGAAGAACATATGGCTTCCCGAACAAGCACAAAGCCCTGGGTTTGATCCCTTGCATCCCTCTCTCCCTAAAATTCAGTAGGATTTCTACTGGTTGGATTTCTCCCCTAGGTCTTTCTCCTTGGCTTGCTGATGTCACGTTCTCACTGTGTCTTCACATGGTCTTTCGTCTGTGCCCAAGAATCTCTGGCATCTCTCTGCCCAGACTTCCTCTTCTCCAAGACAATAATTATATTGGACTAGAATCTACCATAATAACCTCCTTTTAACTTAATCACCCCTTTCAAAGCCCTAACTTCAAACAGTCGTATCTTGAGGTACGGGCCTCCAACAAAAGAGTTGTGGAGCAACACAATCCAGCCTATTGCGGGGGGCATGGGGACCCACCAACAACAGGAAGTGCGGTGTAGTGAATAGTGAGTAATGCAGTCCTCCGTCTGACCTGGAGCCTCAGACTTTGAAATCATGCATGAAACAGCAGCAGACTAGCTTGCTAATTTTGAAGTAGGGTAAACTCTTTCGACTGAGTCCCACACAGTTCTCACACTCCTGTTTTAAAATCCATCGCCTGATTAAGAGTGTCTCTTTCTCTGTCTTCTCCACTAAGCAAGGGGAAACTGGAGGCTGCCATATAGGGTCTAAAACAAAACAGACATTCTATAAATGCCTGCAGAATTTTATTTATGATAAGGTATGTACAGTCAAGGGTTCGGTGGATCTGAAGAGATATGCCTTTCAAGAGATAGGTGAAGATAAGGGGAAAAAAACTGGTTAGTACAGATTCAGCATTGATAAAGGAGGGTTCGGGTGCAATTATAAGGCTTCCTTGATTTCAAAAATACTGGGTGTTGCCACAAGTGTTAAATAATTTATTGGGCCTTATTTGTCTATCATCCACGATAGGTGAACCCTGAAGTTATTCCTCTACAAAATGAAATTTAGCAATGAAAGTAATACCAAGTAATGGGATAAGTTAATTCTCCAATCAGTGGTTCACTACCAGTTCCTCCCAAAGCTTCCAGAGTACAAAGTACAAGAAATGCAGTCAACAACTTCTGCTGAAAATTATGGACTTAAGGCTTACCAAGAGGCCCGGTGGCAAGAGTTTGCCCTGTCTCAATGAGCCTGAGAATCATTTTCATTGTCTTTGAACAGATTCAAACCATAAGGAAAGAAAAGGAAAGTAACAGAGTCAATGGTCTGAAAAGAGGTAGACAGTTGTAGCTGTTCTCTTCCAGATCTAATTTCCAGCTTCTGAGAAGGGCCGAGACCATCATTCCTCATCAGTTACCTGACTCTGCGGGAGACTGAGCAGAAAGGAAAGAAAAGCAGAAAAGGAACGTGGGCAGGGGATATTCTGGAGTAACAAGCCTCACATGCGAACATGCATGAACCCCCAGGTTCCATGTCCCCTTACGCACCCAAATAAGAGAGGAAGGGGGAAAAATATGCTGCAAACAGAAATAGACTGGGGGCAATACTACTACAGTGGACAGGGCACTTGCCTTGCAAGCTGCCAGCCCGAGTTCGATTCCCAGTATCCTATATGGTCCCCTGAGCCCGACTAGAGTGATTCCTGAGCGCTGAGCCAGGAGTAACAATACTCCTCCCCGCTCAAAAAAAAAAAAAAAAAACCAAAAAAAACCCCAAAGAACAAAAACAAATAGAAAAACGCAAACAGGGGCCAGGGAGATAGCTCAAAGGGCTGGATCACACGGTTTGCATGCGTGCGGAAAGCCCCAGGTCTGAACGACCAGCTCTCACTCGCCGCCCAGTACCACAAACCAAACCAAGCAGCCGACGGTTCAATTGCTCTGGCCAGTGCAGCTGTGAGCACTGTCCCCGAGAGTTGGAGCCCGGAGAGTGCGGGGGCGTGACCTTTGCTCCGCCTCTGCAAACTCAGTGACGTTCCCGGTCACTTCCCAAATGCGCTCCACTTCGAGGGTCTCGGCGTGGGGCGGGGGTGCCGGTTCCCTCTTTCCTCCGCAAAGTCGGGGGGCGGAGGCGAGGGCGCGCTGGTCCCCCGGGGTCCGCGCCGCCGAGGCTCGGCCGCGCGCACGGCCCCGGGGCCCGCCCGAGGAGCGCGGGGGGCGGGCAGGCGGCGGCGGCGGCGGCGGCGTCCGGGCCCGCCCCCGGGAGTCCCCCACCCAGGCCCGCGGCCCTGGCGCCCTCCCGGTGCCGCTGACCATGCGCCCCCTCCCGCGGGCCTTGCTCCTGCTGCTGCTGCTGCTGCAGCTGCGGACGCTCGCGGTGACCGCTGGCTCCGGCGCCCCCGACGCGCGGCGGAGCCTGGCGTGGGGCCCGGGGCTGCAGGCGGCCGTCGTGGTGCCCGTCCGCTACTTCTACCTGCAGGCCGTCGGCGCGGACGGGCAGAACCTCACCCGATCGCCCCCAGGTAGCGCGCAGCTCCCCCCGGCCCCGCGAGCGCCGCCGCCCCCACCCCGCCCGCCGCCTGCGTGGCGCCTTCCCCGGCCCGGGAGCCGCCCCGCGCCCCCGCTGCCCGCGCGGACACCCGGCAGGGAGGGGGAGCCGCCCTAAGAGCGTGAATGAATGAATGAATGAAATGTGTGAGCCCCCCCCGGGGTCGGGATCGAGGGACCTGCGTGAGTCACCGGCGGCGGGAGACGTGGCGCGGCTCCCCGGACCCCTGCGGGAACCCCCGGGCCGGCCCGTCCACCTCCACGTGCGGACCCCGCAGAGGGTCAGGCCGAGGGTCAGGCCGAGGGCCTGGAATGCAGCTTTGCTTGCTCACGGAGATTAGATTAGAGTTCTTTCTTCTTGTTTGTTTTTCGTTTGGGGGCCTGGGGCCACACCTTAGAATCAGACTCGAAGTCTAAATTTAACTCTTTATAACTATAGAGTATTTTCTGTCTGTCCGTCTGTCTGTCTGTCTCTCTCTCTTTCTCTCTGGATCACATCTGGCTTTACTCCTGGTTTGCTCCTCGTTCAGGAATTACTCCTGCGATGCTCCTGCGAAATGCCGGGAATCGAACCCAGGTCTGCCGCGTGCAAGACAGGCAGGCTGACGCCTTATCATACTGTACTGTCACTCTGGCCCCTATAGAATATCTTTTCCTGATCACTTTATAAGTTATAACAGACAGGCGAGGTTGTGATTCCATTGTGCTAGGAGAGCCAGAATATTCCGCCAGCCTTAGGAAGACTTTCGTAGGGTAGTGGGCACACTGCGGTCGGTGATTCTGGGGAAGATATGTGTGTACCAGGGATCAAACCCAGGGCCTCAGGTATGCAGCACATGGGCCCTGTCACTTGAGACACATCCCCAGCCAGATGTGTATCTGAAGATCTGAATTCTGCAATTCCGTGTAGTAACATGACTCAGTCCGAGACGTTGATCGGTAATGGAACTAGACATGTTTTCCTGAGCATAAGATGGTATGATTAATACCTATCTCACAAAATTTTATAGGAAGGAACTAGGAGAAATGTATAAATAAATGTATGATTCTCAAACTTGGCACATAATAACATCTTAGAGGATTTAAAATTTTAATTTGGTTTAATGTTTTTGTTTTGGGGCCACGCCTGGCAGTTCTCTGGGGCTACCCCTGGCTTTGTGCTCAAGGCATCACCCCTGCTGGGGAGCCTGGGGAACCATATGTGGGGCTTACATCAGCTGGGTGCAGGGCAAGTGCACCCAGCTGATGCACTTCCTGTCTCTCGGGCCCTCAAAAGGGCTTCTTATTTGTTTGGGGGCGACACCTGGGACAATCAAAGATTATTCCTGCCTCTGCACTCCTGAATCACTCCTGGTGGTGCTCCGGGGACCATATGGGTTGCCAAGGATCAAACCAGGGTCAATCTCCTGTAAGACCTTAGCTCTAAGACCTTAGCTGCTGTCCTACGGCTCCAGCCCCATCAAGAAGGCTTTTTAAAAAGGCTTTTGGGGCCACGGTATAGCCAAGCTGACTGGTGCTTATCTGGCATATGTGAAACACCCCCTAAAACATGCAAGCTTTTGCTCTCTTTCCAAATCAAAACTCCCCTAAATTTTTCCTTTTTCTAACGATAAGACTTTGATAGACCCCCACCTCCCTTTGTCTGTGCAGTCACCGCCTTCTCGTTCAGTTAACTCTGGTGCTTGAGGTCTCAGTTTGTGGAACAAAAAATACTAAACTGAGCTTCAATTCTGTTATGTTAGTCCCTGGGTAAATGAGAATTCACATTCCTTTCATTTGAAATAATTTGGCATTGTACTCTCATTTTTTTCCCCTTTGATGAGACTAGAATAGCTTTTCTATTAAAGTTCTGGTTATCATTATTATTTTGCATTGATTCTAGCATTAGCTTCACACCAGCCATGTCATGGGCATTCGAACTTTGAAAATAGCTAGATAGGTAAAATACAGGTTTGTAATGGCTGTAGTGTATTTTTTAATATATATTGAAAAATGATTTTTTTTTTGCTCTTTTGGGGTCACACCCAGCGATGCACAGAGCTTATTTCTGGCTCTGCACTCAGAACTTACTCCTGGCAGTGCTCGGGGGACCATATGGGATGCTGGGGATCAAACTTGGGTCAGCCGTGTACAAAGCAAATGCCCTACCTTCCCTACTATAGCTCCAGTCCCTGAAAAATGATTTTTCATGCTACCTTAGAGAAAGCAGTGTAACTGAAAGAGCTATACTTTCAGTTTTAAAAAAATGGAAATGTTGGGACTGGAGAGACGGCTCAGTGGGTTGAACACATGTTTTTCATATTGGGGGCCGAGCTTGGATCCTCAGTACCGCATAGTGCACTGAGCACTGCCAGGAGTAACCCTGAGCACTGCTCCCGGCATTGCTGCTAGGTGTTGCCCCCAAACCACAAGGAAAATTAGTGAAATGCGGGCACACACAGCCTACTGCACCCACCCACTGCCAGGTGCGACCCAAACACCGAAAACAAAGAATAAATAATGAAGTGTTGGGGCTGTGGATGTGGCACTGCACTGAAGCACGAGACTGGGATTTGACCCCTAACACTACAAAACACAGTTAGAGAAAGGAAACAAAAAAAAATAAGTGTTTCGGAGCTAGTGATTTGTGTTTTAGAGCTAGTCGATACATCATGTTTCCCCAAATCACACTGTCATTAATATGCGTATTTATATATTCTGTCACTGTCCTCATCCTCTCGTTGTTCATCAGTTTGCTCGAGCGGGCCCAGTGAGATTTGTTGTTACTGTGTTTGGCATTTTGAATGCGTCACGGGTTATATGTTCTACTTATTTAAAATACCAGTTTACAGAAAATAGGACTAACTGGGGCCAGAGTGATAGTACAGTGGGGAGGGTGTTTGCCTTGCACATGGTCGACTCGGGGTAGATCCTTGACATCCCATATGGTCCCCTGACCTGCCAGGAGTGATCCCTGAGGGCAGAGCCAGGAGTATGCCCTGAGCACAACCAGGTGTGGGATGACCCCTGACCCAGGTTAAAAAAAAATACTAATTGAGGCGGAGACAGTCAACCCCACCACATTACCTTCCTGGAAACAGGTGGAAATGCACAAAGAATCATTTATTTAAGCCTTTTAGGTAACTGGCCAGCATTTAAATAACTTCACATTAAGTTACTGGCCTTGAAAATAATAATTAAGTGAACTATTATAGTTTACTATAGCAAATTTATTTCATAATTTGTATACCTGTTTTAGGATTGTAAAAGTAGGTATGAGTTTGGGGGTCGGAGAGATAGCTCAGAGGGCAGGAGTTGGCCCCATTTCATCCCTAACACACATGATCCCCAGCATCGCTCAGAGTGGGCCCACCCACCCCCAATTAATAACTTAAAAGTATGTGTTTGATACTTGATTATGTCAGTACGTTACTATTTCAAAACTGAAGAAACACCTCTTGATCCACAGGAAAACTTAGAAACTTGGAAGATTAAAAGAAAATAGAAATTCCACTGAATGGAGGATAAAAGTCTTTACAATTCAAAAAATTGTATTAATAAATATATTTACTGTCTTGGGAACTGGGGAGATCGTGCAGGACTTAGGGGCCATGCCTGGGTGCACCCAATCCCAGTTCAGTCCCCATCGGCACAGTCCCCTGTGCAAGATGGGGCTCAATCCAGGAGGACCCAGCCCTTCTGGGGTGGTCCTGATGCTCTCCAACGCAGTGCTGCATCCGAGAGCCCTAGCACACACCAAATGGAGTTTCACCAGGAATGGTCCCAGGTCACTGAGCAACGCTTGAGAGCCCCGCTCCACACACACACAGCCTTGCTTCCGTCATGTGGTTAATAAATGCGAGAACATTGAGTGCTTTGCTTCCTAGGCACCAGAAAGTTTCTCAGGGTGTGCAACTGCCCAAACTTCCAGTCATCCTGTTTTCTGAGAGACCTTGAAGCTCAGGCACACCAGAGCTGTCTCTAGAGAGGTTGGTATTTGACGTGAATGCCAAGACTGGTTTCAAAGCGGGTGGTGGCCTCAGAACCTAAATAAATAATAAATAATTTTGTTCACTGTTGCAGGGAATATCCCTTTTATGGAGAGAAGGGATTATTCTCAAGAATAATTTTGTCTGTTTGATTTTTGGGCCACAGCTGGTGGTGCTCAGTATTTACTTCTGGCTCTGTGCTCAGATATCACTCCTGGTGGGGCTCAGGGGACCCTATGGGATGCCAGGGGTTGAACCCTGGTTGGCCATGTGCAAGGCAAGCCCCCTACCCACTGGACTATCACTCGGGCCCCTATTCTCAGGAATTGTTATGATGAAATTATCATGAATTTAGGTTATTTGTTTATTTTTTCTTTCAGGTCAAACGTTATTCAAAGTAGTAATCAAGTCTCTTTCACCTAAAGAAATAGTCCGTATTCATGTGTCTAAGCCGCTGGACCGGAATGATGGAACATTTTTGGTGCGATACAGGATGTATGAAAGTGTGAGTGAAGGGCTAAAGATAGAAATTTTTTATGGTGATGAACATGTGGCTCAGTCTCCGTACATTTTGAAAGGTGAGTGGACTTACGTGTGGACTCTGTTGGGAAGGCTGCACCCGCCTGGCAGTGCTCAGGGCTTACTCCTGGCTCTGTGCTCAGGAATTGTTCCTGGTGGGGTTCAGGGGACCACATGGTTGGCCAGGAAAACATCTTTAGCAGAGATGTTGTTTTTTCATTTGTCTTGTATTTTTTAATTGAATTACCTTGAGATATGCAATTACAAACTTGTTCATGACTGATTTTCAATCATACAGTGTTCCAAGACCCGTCCCTTCAACCAGAGTGCATTTTCTGCCACCAATGAGCCCAGTTTCCCTCTCACCACTGACCCCCCCCAAACACACACACACACACACATCAGCTTGCCTCTATGGCACCCCTCTCTCTCTCTCTCTCTCTCTCTCTCTCTCTCTCTCTCTCTCTCTCTCTCTCTCTTTTCTTCTGGGCATTATGGTTTTCAAATTTTATTTGAAATTTTATTATATATCCCTTTCCCTCCTTTCAGCATTTAGTTCTCCATATTGATCATTTCCATCTATCTAACTATCAATGTCATAGTGGTTCCTTTTCTGTCCTAACTGTACCTAATGCCCCCCCCAACACACATGCACACTCACACACACACTCAAATACACGCATGCACACACAAGCACATACATACTGCCCCTACTTGTGGCAAGCTTCCAACAGTGGGCCAGTCCTGTTTAGCAGAGATGTTACAGTCTGCATACTTTCTGGAGCCAGTTTAACTGGAAATTTGAAAAGAAAGGAATTTAAAGTGTTTAATGAGCTGAAAGTAATGTTTTTAATGTTGGTATTCATTCAGGTAGTTCTTCATTCCTGTGCGTAAGTATATTTTCCACTGAACCTTTTGCCTTCTAAAAGGAATCCTACCAACATATTTTTTGGATAAGAATTCTGGTGATCACAACTTCCAACTTTTGAATGTCTGAAAAAGGTTTTGCTTTTTGTTTTTGAAAGTTTTGATAGTTTTAGTTATAGATAAGCATTTCAATTTTTTTCCTCTTAGTACTTTTAAAATGTCCCATTGAATCAGGGCCAGAGAGATATTACTGTGGGTAAGGTATTTACCTTGCATGTATCTGACCCCATTCCGTGGCACCATGTATGGGCAGTTCCTCAGGACTGCCAAGAGTGAGCCCTGAGTACTGTGCCAGGAGTAGTCTCTGAGTACTGCTAGATGTGACCCAACGTCCCCCACGAAAGGAAGGGTTTTTTCCTTTTTTTTTTTTGTCTCTTCCTCAACCAGTTCAAAGTCATTAGAAATGAGTTTTTCTGCTGTTGACCTCAAGTAAGTTTCTTGGAAGCGGGCACAGGACACCCTAGTTTGTCTAGTTATAGATAAGCATCTAGTTATAGATAAGCATTGTGACTGGGAGACAGGAGCTAAACCGCATGGCTCTTACATGCCCCTTTTACAGCTGATCAGTGGCGCCTGATGTACGTGGCAGGGCAGAAATCACCCTTGCATGCCGTGCTTGTTGCCAGAGCAGACGTTATGTGTGTTTTGCTTCTGTAGGACCAGTATACCACGAGTACTGCATGTGTCCGAAGGAGGATCCTCAGGCCTGGCAGAAAACTCTTGCGTGCCCAGCCAGTGAACCCCAGATTGAGAAAGATTTTGCTCCTTTTCCCAGCATCAGTCTTCAGCAGATGCTAAATGAAGTCCCAGCCAGGTTTGGGGGAGAAATGGGCGCCGTTGTTCATTACACGATTCTCAATAACCGCATCTACCGGAGAAATTTAGGAAAATACACAGACTTCAAAATGTTCTCTGATGAGATTTTGCTCTCCCTGGCAAGAAAGGTATGAAAAGGATTATACTGGTTGCAAGATAATGTGATTTATTTTTTTTGTATTATGTAATCACTTAGAATAATAGTGGTAAAGAGTGGAAATGGGTCTAAGTACTTAAAATGATAGTGACAGGGGGTGGAAATAGAATAATAGTATCAAGGCATGGAAATGAGTCTCTTAAGAGAACTCCCACCTGGAGTCGTGAGTCAGCAACCGAGCACTATACACCTTATTCGTGGGAGGCCCTGGGTCTGATTCCTGAAACTTCCCCTCACACCAAAACCCCATCTGAATATTTGTAAGTTCTCTACTTCAGGAATCTCTTTTTCAGCTCCTTCCTTCCTTCCTTCCTTATTTTTCTCTCTCTTTCTTTCATCAGGTTCTTTTGTTTTGGTGCATAGTAAATATAACAAAACACCCAGAAGCCCTAACATCTGAAAACAGGCACCCACTCCCCTTTGTTAATCAGACTCACTTGTCCTGGCCTCTGGGGTTTGGAAGGAGCTGTGGTCTTCCAGGCCTTGAAGTCTGATTTATTGACAGCAGCGAGAATGATTCCACTGTTGGTAGAAATGCATTCTGCTTCCACTTCTGTGGAAGATGGCATAGAGATATCTCAAAAATTAAAACCTGAACTCCCATATAGCCCAATGATCTCAGTTCTTGGCATTTATCTCCAAACACGAAAACATTAACTTAAAAAGATAATGCAGGGGCTGGAGCAACAGCACAGCAGGTAGGGCATTTGCCTTGCACGCAGCCAACTCAGATTCGATTCCCAGCATCCCATATGGTCCCCTGAGCACCACCAGGGGTAATTCCTGAGTGCGGAGCCAGGAGTAGCCCCTGTGCATTGCCAGGTGTGACCCAAAAAAGCCAAAAAACAATAATAATAATGCATATGTGTGTTCATCACCACGCTATTGGCAATAGCCATAGTCTGGAAACAAGCCAAGGACCCAATGACAGATGAATGAAGTTGTGATACAGGCACCCACAGGCACCCACTCCCCTTTGTTAATCAGACTCACTTGTCCTGGCCTCTGAGGTTTGGAAGGAGCTCCTTCCAAACCTCAGACCACAGCTCCTTCCAAACCTCAGAGGCCAGGACAAGTGAGTCTGATTAACAAAGGGGAGTGGGTGCCTGTTTTCAGATGTTAGGGCTTCTGGGTGTTTTGTTATATTTACTATGCACCAAAACAAAAGAACCTGATGAAAGAAAGAGAGAGAAAAATAAGGAAGGAAGGAAGGAAGGAAGGAAGGAAGGAAGGAAGGAAGGAAGGAAGGAAGGAGCTGAAAAAGAGATTCCTGAAGTAGAGAACTTACAAATATTCAGATGGGGTTTTGGTGTGAGGGGAAGTTTCAGGAATCAGACCCAGGGCCTCCCACGTATTATGTACACAATAGAATAGAACTTAGGTATAAGGGAAGATGAAATTGTGCCCTTTGCTACAACTTGAGTGCAGCTAGACGTGGAACTGTATTAGTCAGAGAGGGAAGGTCAGATACCAGATAAGCTCACTCATCGTGCTTATGGCATACAAAGGAATGGGCAGTATCAGCTAACAAAAATCGTCTGGACTTTGCGTAACAGAACTGAGGTTTCAAAGTGGAGGGAGGGGGGAAGGGGAAGAAGAGGCAAGTAGAAAGTGACAGCAGGACACTAGTGGAGTCTTTGGTACTCTGGTGGTCATAGACAAGCAAGAATTTACCAGACACATAAACATAAGCACTCTTGTCACTGCATTGCTTCAGCTATGACCACAGAAAATGCAGTGATCCTCTCAGAAGGCTTTTCTACCTCCGCATCCCTGACAGCTCTCCTCCCAGCCCTTCACTCCACATTTTCTGTTTTCTTTTTTTCCCTTCTTTTGATTTTTGTGCTACACCTGGCAGTGCTCAGGGCTTGCTCCTGGCTCTGAGCTCACTCCTAGTGGGACTTGGGGAACCATATGGGATTTTGGGGGTTGAACCCAAGTCGACTGCATGCAAGACAAGCTCCCTACTCACTGCACTATAACTGCAGCTCCCTCTCCCGACATGTGTTCCGTTGAGCTGCCTCCCATCCTAGCACATTTACAAACTGTTAGGAAGAGTAATACAAACTGTCTTTTGTTCTTCCTTCTCTCCTGACCAAATAAAGTTAAGGGTAAAAGAGGATAGTTGTGGCATTTTTTTTTTTTTTGTTACTAGTGCGTTGAGTTCATTTGCTCTCAACGGAATGAACATCTCCGAATGCAGCAGCTATGTGTACCTGGGTCAAGAACTCAATATTAGGAACTGCACAGGAGGAAGAGAGCGGTGTGGAACTCCTTCAAGAGCATCAAAGAAGTTGTTAAGAGGACGAAGAATCTCCAGCTCCGGGCACATCTTTTTGACTCCACCGTTCTTCCTGCACTAACATACACCTCAGAGACCTGGGCCCTACGAAAACAGGATGAGAACGCCATTCAGGTATTCCCAAAGAAGAATCGAAAGAGCTATGCTTGGAATATCACGTTTCACTCAAGTGCAAGAAAGAATTGGTGTTCCGACCTCTGTGGATGATTAAGAACCAGGCATGCTGTCTTGTTTGCCAAGGCATCCAAAATCAGATGGGCTGGACACGTAATACCATTTAGAGATGACCACTGGACTAGAGCTATTACCGACTGGATTCCACAGGACGTCAAAAGATTGCGTGGCCGCCCACTTACGAGATGGTCAGACTTCTTCATCAAACCCCTGAACAAATGGTCTGAGGCTCTTCGTGTTCCTGGAGCGAGCAGATGCCATTGGGCTACACTAGCACGCAACAGGGATGGATGGAGACATTACTGGCACCTGCTCAAGCAAATTGAAGATCAAGGGGATGACAAGTGATACAAGTGATACAACATTTTTTAAACCAAAAGTCATTTTTGCTGATGATTGATACTTTTTAAAGTTTTCAGACTGTGTAGGTCTAGTCAATTCTTATTTTATTTATTTATTTATTTATTTATTTATTTATTTATTTGCTTTTGGGGTCACACCCAGCTATGCACAGGGGTTACTCCTGGCTCATGGACTCAAGCATTACTCCTGGCGGTGCTCGGGGGGTCATATGGGATGCTGGGAATCGAACCTGGGTCGGCCGCGTGCAAGGCAAATGCCCTACCCGCTGTGCTATCGCTCCAGCCCCCACAATTCTTATTTTAAGTAGCAGTCCTCTTTCCACCAGCCCCAGTAGGAGCATATGAACACATCATGGGTACCTGATCCTATAGACAGACCTATATATCGGATTTGCTTTCTTTCTGGTTCTTTCTACATTGCCCTGTACTTCTATATCTTGTACTATGTTCCTGCCAGAGTACAAGAATATCAGAATTCAGAGTGTTTTATATTCATGTGGCTCATGTTTGTACTGTCACACTCAAACTCGGTGCATATGGTGACACCGGGAATTGAACTCATGGCCTTCAACTTGAGCGCATGCATTCTAAGCTGCTGGGCTATCCAGAGGGCCCCCCTATAGGCGTATTTTTTACTGGGTATGAATTTGCCTGTATCTTCCTCTTCCTTGGGCTGATTCTGCTGATGACCAAAAATAATCCTTTCCTCTTCTATTTTCAAATGTTTTTTTTTTCCTGAAATACTTCCTAAAGCTAAAGAATTAAAATATTTAACCTCAACAGCAAAAGTCATCCTTGCACTGATGTTTATCCTTTTGTTTATGTAGGTTGTTCTCCCAGATTTAGAATTTTATGTGAATCTTGGAGATTGGCCCTTGGAGCATAGAAAAGCCAATGAAATTCCAGCCCCTTTACCTATCATTTCATGGTGTGGCTCTGTGGACTCCCAGGATATTATCCTTCCAACCTACGACATCACCCACTCCACACTTGAAGCTATGAGGGGTGTTACCAATGATCTCCTCTCTATTCAGGGAAACACAGGTAAACCGAAGTTCATTCTCTCAGCAAAAGTTTAGAAATTCAAAAGGGAATGGAAAAGAATGTAAGTTTCTATTTAAGTAACTCATCCTTATTTTCTTTTTTGTTTGTTTGTTTGTTTTTTGGACCACACACAGAAGTACTCAGAGCTTACTCCTGGCTCTGTGCTCAGATATCACTCCTGGTGGACTCCAGGGACCATATGGGGTGCCAGGGGTAGAGCCTCGATCAGCTGAATGCCCGGCAATGCCCTACCCACTCTACCCTCACTCCCATTCCATTTACTCTTACTTTTCAACCAAGGTAAAGGCACCTTAAACTTTAGTATAGTTACTTTGTGTGTGTGTGAATGAGGAGGAAATCCCAAGTAGTGCTCAGGGGAACTCAGGGGCCACTCAGGATTAAATTCTGCCAACTGGTTGGGGCAGTTCACTGTGAAAACCCAAGGACATGACGCTGCTGGAGCCTTGCAGTGCCAGGGACAGCCAGGCCCACCCTGATTCTAGGGGTCCTCCTGAGTAAAACTCAGTGATGCTCAGAGGCCACGGAGTGTTGGGGTTCAAATGAGTTCCTGGAGCATGCAGAACATGTACCTGTGACTGTTCATTAGCTCCCTTGCCTTACAGTGGTTTCTTCTAATCCAGGGCAAGAGCTAGAACAGGGGTTCAGGTGCTTGTCTTGCATGAGGCTGAGCCCAGTTTGATTCCTGGAACTACATATCTGTATATACTACCAGGGCTCATGCTGGGACACCCCTGGGTCTGGTCCAACTCTTCCTCACCCCCCAAAAAGGTTTTTCTGATCCAAAAATTAAACATGCATGGATTGAGCTGGTCACATTCATACTGTAACCATATCACTTACCCTAACTTCTTCTTTTAAATTGACCACTTGTAAATTCAGTTTGAAAATAATGTCACTGTCACTGTCCTCCTGTCATTCATCGATTTTTCTCGAGTGGGCCCAGTAAATAATGTATTTGGTAAAATTGTCTCTTAATTCTCTTCTCAAGCCTTTACATAACTGGATGATGTGAGAGAATTTTTTAATATGGCAAAATTACTTGAAGATGCCAGAGAATTATAAGAGCTACATAATTTTGAAATCACTGCCTTACCACTTAGGGATTTTCTCCTTTCCTCTTTCTGCCTCTTTTGATCTGTTAATGTCTGAATTTCTCGCCCTTTTTTGTAGGCATTACTTTTATCAACATATACTTTTATTAAACCAAGTTTTTGAGCTTAAAAAACAAATCCAAACCCTGCATAACTTCCGTTTGTATTTGCTGTGGTTTAGTAGAATTAGGGAGTGAAAGTGGATTTTTTTGTACACTAAAGAATGAGCGATAGCACAGCGTGTAGGGCGTTTGCCTTGCACGCGGTCGACCTGGCCGACCCAGGTTCGATTCCTCTGCCCCTCTCAAGAGCCCGGCAAGCTACCAAGAGTATCTTGCCTGCACGGCAAAGCCTGTCAAGCTTCCCGTGACGTATTCGATATGCCAAACACAGTAACAAGTGTCACAATGGAGAAGTTACTGGGCCCGCTTGAGCAAATCGATGAACAATGGGAGGATAGTGACAGTGAAAGAATGAAATAAAAATGACCTATTTGGAATATGCTTACAATGATTTCCTGAAAAGCATGCTAAAATATAGACTGACCCCTGCCAGTTTCTGTTTGGTGATTTATCCAACCAGTACTGACATGTATTAACTAATGACTTATCTTTGGAATAGTGGAATATATTTTAAATGATCCTTCCAGAATTTTCCTCTCCAAGAAAGCAAAACTATAAATATAAGTATACCGTAGAGTTCTATCTGTATATTTGCATTTGAAAATACATAGGAAAGTCGTCTCTCTATTCAAAAATTATGGGCTCAACATTGAAAGCAACTTTAGCACTCAAACTTCGTAGATGCGATTTAGTTATGTCATTTATTCTGGCTTCCCTGTTCTAGAAAGAACTAGAACCAAATCCTGGTTCATTTTTTTTCTTTTTTTTTTTAACTGGAAAGTAGGCAGAATGAAAGAAGCTAATTAATGAACCAACAGTTTTTGCTTTGAATTTGGCCTAACGTTTAGGACATGTTTTTGTATCATACAACAGAAATTCCAGTATTTGAGTGAGTTCTCACTAGTAGACAGATTAAATCAGAGCATTCCCTCACGGGGGTATGAAAGATAGCACAGCGGTAGGGCGTTTGCCTTGCACGCGGCCAACCTGGCTGACCCAAGTTCGATTCCTCCACCCCTCTCAGAGAGCCTGGCAAGCTACCGAGAGTATCTCGCCCGCATGGCAGAGCCTGGCAAGCTACCTGTGATGTATTCGTATGCCAAACACAGTAACAACAAAGTCTCCAATGGAGATGTTACTGGGCCTGCTCGAGCAAATCGATGAACAACGGGAGGACCGTGACCATGACCGGGATCATTCCCTCACGGGGGTGTGAAAGATAGCACAGTGGCTAGGGCTTTAGTCTTGCAAACAGCCAATCTGGATTTAATCCCTGATATCCCATGTGGCCCCTTCAGCCCAGCCAGGAGTGATCCCTGAGCTCAGAGCCAGGAATAAGCCCAGAGCACAGCTGAGTGTAGACCAAAATGTTCCCTTATAAGATGGAGCAAATAAAAGAACTGTTTTTCTTTTTTCCTTATACTTTTTTTAATTAAATCACCATGAAATACAAAATCACAAAGATATTTATGATTGAGTTTCAGGCATATATTTTTTCAACACCAATCCCTTCAGTACTAGCCACTCCCCTCCACCAAAGCCCCTAATTTCCCTCCGACCACCTGCTTTGTTAAGTGGCAGACACTTTCTCTCTCCTCCACTCCTCCCTAACTTAGCCCCCTCACCCATGCTCCAGGGTCAAGCTTCCTACTGAAGAATTCTCCTGCTTCCAATTCTCCTGCTCTTCATTTCTGTTGCCATCAGGCATTTGATATTCCCCTACTAGGTTTCTTTATATTGCACATCTGAGAGATCATTCTGAGTCTAAGAACTGTTTTTTCTAAGTCTAAAATTTATATATCTAAGTTTAAAATGTATCTAAATATTATATATTTATATATTAAATTTACATATTTAAATATCTCAGCAAATTCAAACTTGATCCCACATTTCTTTGGAAATAGCATCTACTTTAGAAGATGAGTTAATGCTGAAAATACTTGACCATCCTAAGTGGTAGAGTAGAGATACACTTACCATGCAAAAAGTGTGCAGTTCATCATCAGATGTGTTATACTCACACTTCTAGGACCTTCCTGGATCAATAAAACAGAGAAAGCTTTCTTCAGAGGCCGGGACAGCCGGGAGGAGAGACTTCAGCTGGTGCAGCTGTCCAAAGAAAATTCACAGCTCTTAGATGCTGGAATCACAGGGTATTTCTTTTTCCGAGAGAAAGAAAAGGAGCTTGGAAAAGCTAAATTGGTTGGTTTCTTTGATTTCTTTAAGGTAAGTATTTTAAATCTTCTGGTTGGATGTGACAAATCTATGTAAAGTCAGCTAAGGAGCTGGCCTAAGGCATATTTCTTCCGTTCTGTGAACTGACACACTTTGTCCTCACATAAAGATTACCAAACTTACTGTGATTTCCTGTTTTTGTTTTTGTTGTTAATTTTGTTTACCAAATAACTTAGATGGAGTGATAGTACAATGGGTAGGGCGTTTGCCTTGCATGCCAATTCCCAGCATCCCATATGGTCCCCCAAGCACTGCCAGGAGTGATTCCTGAGTGCAGAGCCAGGAGCAACCTCTGAGCATCGCCAGGTATGACCCTGTCACTGTCACTGTCCTCCCATTGTCCATCAATTTGCTCGAATGGGCCCAGTAATATCTCCATCGTGAGACTTGTTGTTACTGTGTTTGGCATATCGAATATGTCACGAGGAGCTTGCCAGGCTTTGCCATGTGGGCGAGATACTCTAGGTAGCTTGCTGGACTCTCTGAGACAGGCAGAGGAATCGAACTCGGGTCTCCCATTTTGTCCGCTTGCAAGGCAAATGCCCTACCTGCTGTGCTATCGCTCCAGCAAGGTATGACCCAAAAAGAAAAAAAAATAGCTTAGAATTACATTTATTACTCAGAATACAGCAAGTTTTATTCTGGGGCTTTGGTGCATTTATTTTGTTTTCTTTTCTCTCTCTCTCTCTCTCTCTCTCTCTCTCTCTCTCTCGTCTTTGTTTTGGGGGCACACCCATTGATCACCAGGGGCTACTCCCAGTTCTGCAAAAAGCAAAAAACTTAAAAAATTTAAAAAAAGAAAGAAATATCAGCTGAAAAAATAATTTTAGGATATAGAAAATCCTCTTTTAAGTATAGAATAGGGAACTCAAATTTTTATAGACAAGTAGAAAATTATTTTCAATCACTTAATCACTTAACTTCCCGTTAGTCGTCGATTTGCTCGAGCGGGTGCCAGTAACGTCTCCATTTGTCCCTGTCGCGTGCTAGTGTAGCCCAATGGCATCTGTTCGCTCTGGGAACATGAAGGGCCTCAAACCGATCGTTCATGATCTTGACGAAGAAGTCTGACCATCTGGAAGGTGAGCGGCCACGCGGTCTTTTGACATCCCGTGGAATCCAATCAGTAACAGCTCTAGTCCAGCGGTCGTCTTTAAATCTCATTACGTGACCAGCCCATCTGATTTTCGACACCTTGGCAAATGAGACAGCGTCCCTGATTCTTGATCCTCGACGGATGTCAGAACTCCGGATTCTCTCTCTCATTTGAGTGAAACGTGATATTCCAAGCTTAGCTCTTTCTATTCTTCCTTGGGAGACCTGAATAGCATTCTCATCCTGTTTGCGTAGGGCCCAGGTCTCTGAGGCATATGTTAATGCAGGAAGAACAGTGGAATCAAAGAGATGTGCCCGGAGCCGGAGGTTCTTCGTCCTCTTAGCTATTTCTTCGACGTTCTTGAAGGCGTTCCAAGCCGCTCTCTTCCTCCTGCGCAGCTCGGGTGCCAGGTCATTTGTCATGTTGACCTCTCGACCTAGGTAGACATAGCTGTTGCATTCGGAGATGGTCGTTCCGTTGAGAGCGAATGGGGCGTCAGGAACGAGGCTGTTTCTCATAAACATTGTCTTGTAAGATTCAGCTGTAGTCCTACCTTTCCACACTCACGGTCAAAGTCGGCCAGCATTTGTGCCGCTTGGCTGATGTTTGGTGTTATTAAAACAATGTCAGCAGCAAAGCGGAGGTGGTGTAGTTGCCGACCATCTATCTTCACTCCCATTCCTTCCCATTCCAGTCGTCGCATGATGTTCTCGAGGGTGGCACTGAAGAGTTTCGGTGAAGTGGTATCACCCTGCCGCACCCCTCTCTTGACATCAACGATCACTTCTTTGTAGAATGGTGAGATCCTGGTAGTGAATCCGCAATACAGCTCACGGAGGATCCTGATGTATTGGGCTTGAATGCCCTGATTGGCTAGGGCTTCAATGACCGCTTCCGTCTCAACAGAATCAAAGGCCTTCTTTAGATCAATGAACGTTAAGCAGAGCGGCATCTTGAACTCCCGAGAAACCTCAATGAGCTTGGTTATCGTGTGGATATGGTCGATGGTGCTGAATCCTTTGCGGAACCCGGCTTGCTCGCATGGTTGTCCTTCATCTAGTGTTCTGCCAATCCTATTTAGGATGACTCGAGTGAACAACTTGTAGATGACAGACAATAGGCAGATTGGGCGATAGTTGCCAATGTCATGGATGTCTCCCTTCTTGAACAGTAGTACGGTCCATGACATTTTCAAAATAATTTGAAAATAATTTCCTATCTTGTAAATCTGAATATTAATAACCATTTACACTTTCATTTTATTATGAAAGTTATTCAGTTAGAAATAACTCCTAGTGGTATTTAGGAACCCATATAAGGTGCCAGGGATTGAATCTGGGTCAGCCATATGCAAGACAGGTATCCTACCTGCTGTACTCTCTCTCTAGTCCCAACTTTTCTCTCTTTTGTATTTGTTTTAATAAACAGGACTACGGGTATCTTACATAATATACTCTCAAATGCCTTTTGTAAATACAGCATAGATCCCATGTAAATAGCAATTATTTCAGAAAAAATTAATTACTAATAGAATATGCAGTGATAGTATCCTAATCATCACAGTGTGATATAATGAAAAGAATGTGGAATTTAAAGAGCTTAGAGATTTATGTTCTCTGAATACCAGTTTTCTCATTATGAAGAACAGTTAGGTGAAATAATAATAATACCTTTACACATTATATTTGAATAGGTTAATAAATGTGAAAAATGACTGAAATTTAAATCAAAGTTAATTAATTCTCAAAATCAGTGAACAGGGTAGATAATGTGTCACTGTATCTTACTAGTATCTAAAATTCAGGTTTTTGTCTCCCTTAACTCTAAAATTGAACCTTAGAGAGAATGCCTTGGGTCCAAGGCAAAAATGAGCAATGTAAAAATGATAGTGTAAATGGTTATTAATATTCAGATTTACAACATAGGAAATTATTTTCAAATTATTTTGAAAATAATTTTCTACTTGTCTATAAAAATTTGAGTTCCCTATTCTATACTTAAAAGAGGATTTCCTATATCCTAAAATTATTTTTTCAGCTGATTTTTTTTATTTTTTAAAATTTTTTAAGTTTTTTGCTTTTTGGGGTCACACCCAGCGATGCTCAGGGGTTACTCCTGGCTCTGCAACCAGGAACCACTCCTGGCAGTGCTCCAGGGACCATATGGGATGCCAGGGATCGAACTCAGGTCAGCTACATGCAAGGCAAATCCCTCCCCACTGTCCTACCATTCCGGCCCCACTGTCACTGTCACTGTCCTCTCGTTGTTCATCAATTTGCGCAAACGGGCCCAGTAATGTCTCCATTTTTGAGACTTGTTACTGTGTTTGGCATATAGAATGCGTCATGGGTAACTTGCCAGGCTTTTCCGTGCTGGCGAGATACTCTTGGTAGCTTGCTGGGCTCTCCAAGAGGGGCGGAGGAATCGAACTTGGGTCGGCCATGCAAAGCGCCCTACCCGCTGTGCTATCGCTCCAGCCCCATCAGCTGATATTTAAATGTATTGTATTTCTTAAATTCATTTGTTAAAAGCTCCTTACCAAAAAAAAAAGGCAAGTTACAAAATAAAAGATATTCTAAACAATCAAGCCAGAAAATAGTACTTATCTTGTAATTTGGAATTACATTGTTAATGAGAAAGAAATGACTTAACATGTTTGTTTATGTCCGTATTAATCTTTCAGTACAAGTACCAAGTGAATGTGGATGGGACCGTGGCTGCTTACAGATACCCGTATCTCATGCTGGGTGATAGTCTGGTTCTGAAGCAGGACTCTCCGTATTATGAACATTTCTATCTTGAACTAAAGCCTTGGAAACATTATGTTCCAGTTAAAAGAAATCTTAGTGATTTACTGGAGAAAATTAAATGGGCCAAGGTATGATTTCTGGAATTTTTTTTTTTTTGGCTTTTTAGGTCACACCTGGCTATGCACAGGGGTTACTCCTGATTCTGCACTCAGGAATTACCCCTGGCGGTACTCAGGGGACCATATGGGATGCTGGGAATCGAACCCGGGTTGGCCGCGTACAAGGCAAATGCCCTACCCACTGTGCTATTGCTCCAACCCCTGATTTCTGGAATTTTAGTTTCTTTCTTTTGGGGGACCCCAGGGTCAGCCTCATGCAAAGCATTTGCTTCAACCCATGTACTATCTATCTCTCCAGCTTCAAATTTTAGTTCCCTTAGGTAATAGCAGTTTCTCCAGCGTTATTACGTGAATTCCATCAGAATACAGTTTAGTTTGACATTATTTAGCCCAAAGTAATGTTATGTTGGAAATTCTGTTTCCTTGAAATATCTTAATAATCCCCATCAGGATCATTTTGTGACATCTCTGTCAGCATTTTTGGGAGATACAGATTTCTTTTTTCTAAAGGCCCTCCCGTTGATCGTCGATTTGCTCGAGCGGGCCCAGTAACGTCTCCATTGGAGACTTTGTTGTTACTGTGTCTGGCATATCGAATACTCTCGGTAGCTTGCCGGGCTCTCCGAGAGGGGCGGAGGAATCGAACTCGGGTCGGCCATGTTGGCCGCGTGCAAGGCAGACGCCCTACCCTAAAACAATCACAAAATTTTTATACTCCAGAAGGCAAGGACATACCAGATGTGAATTACAGATTTTAAAGTGCCTTATGCGGGGCTGGAGCAATAGTACAGTGGGTAGGGTATTTGCCTTGCACGCGGCTGACCCGGGTTCGATCCCCTGGCATCCCATATGGTCCCCCAGCACCACCAGGAGAGATTCCTGAGTGCAGAGCAAGGAGTAACCCCTGAGCATCACTGGGTGTGACCCAAAAGCAAAAATAAATAAAATCCTCCAAGCTTTAAAAAAAATGAATAAATAAAGTGCCTTATGCATAGGAAAACACTTAAGGTAATCATGATAGTCTTTTCTTTTCCCCATTTACCAAATAGGCACAAATCTATAATGGATGCATGCTAATGTAGCATCCCAAGAATCCTGTTCCTCATCTAATAAGAATTCCTTTTTTCAAAATGAAAAGTATTAAAAAAAAAAAAAAGCTACTGTGTTTTTATGAAACTAAAAATGTATCCATTCATTATAAGACTTTATTTTGTTTCTGAGAAGCAATATTTGGTAATAGAAATAATTAAGTGCCTGAGGCAAAATCATTTATGTGACCCTTTATAAATAGAAGGAATTATTTAGTAACTTTTCCTCTGGAGAGTATGATAAAATATTAGCTGTCTTCCTGAAGTGTCCTTGGAAACACTATTTCCAGAACAAAAAGATGTGCTTGTAGCTGAATTTTTTTTTCCTGCAAACTGAAGGATTACATTTTTAAATTGCAAAATACAATGAAGTACATTTTGAGGCAACTTCTTGATTCCTGCTATTTGTTTTTTATTTGTATTTTTCCCCCTTTGCTTTGGCTGTTGTATTTGCAGTGACTAGGGGACACACACACTTCATTGTGGTGTCAGGGATTGCCTAATTCATTGTGTTGCTGGGAGTCCCCGATGGACTGCCCTTGGAGTCACATTTGATACGTGGGCCAGTGAAGGCAATCGAATGGATGAATCCTGCCTGCAAGGCCGGTGCTCTGCCATCCCTGGGCCCCAGTTGCCTCTTTAAATGGAGTTTTTACAAGGTTATAATATAGCATCTGATCGTTTTATTCTAATTTGCATCTTACTGGCTTTTATGTATTTTGTGGGGGAGGGTCACCCAGCATGAGATACGGGTATCTGTAAGGGGTTACTCCTGGCTCTGTGTTCAGAAATCACTCTGGCAGTACTCTGGGGACCATATGCGATACTGGGTATTGAACCTGGGTGGGCTACATTCAAGGCAAGCGCCTTCCCCACTGTACCCCCACTGTAGTATGGCTCCGGCCCCTCTAGATTGCATTTTTAGTACCACCAAGCAGCAAGGTGAGCCCCCAACTTCCTGGGAGCTCAGAAAGAATCAGGATAGTCAAATGAGAGTCTGCCTGTCAGGGTTGCATTGGGGTAGCAGGGTAGTTTACCACGCCAGTATTTTAAGGTCCAAGCAGCTACAAACCATTTCCAAACACCAGAGCAGTGTAGGAAGTAGCTGCTCTGTTTCCATGTGGCCTTTGTCTTTCAGACTTCCATCACGTTCCGTCTCTCCCAGGCCGTTCTTGTCAACCGCACATCTTTCCCACCTCGCCTTCATTCTTAGCTTTTGTCTGTGTGTTTGGGGCTGAGGTGCAGCGGGGTGGGGTGGTGGTGATCATCACAGTGGCCATGGCTGGTGTCAAAGGAGTAAATTCCGTTCATTGATCCTTTTAGGAGAACGATGAGGAAGCCAAGAAGATTGCCAAAGAAGGGCAGTTGACGGCGCGGGCCCTGCTGCAGCCTCACCGGCTTTACTGCTACTATTACAGAGTCCTAAAGGTTAGTTTGTGCCAAGGGGTCGTGTTCTCAGACCACGTGCTTTGGCCTGAGGACCCTGTTTCTAGAAGGAGCTTGGAAACAGCCTGTGGCATCTGACTGAGGTGAGCACCAACCTACCAGAAGAACTGGTACTTAGTCCCTTTGAGGGCACCGTATTTTTATATCCAGGCAGTCTTAGAAAGTGGTCCTCGGGGCTGGAGCCATAGCACAGCAGGTAGGGCGTTTGCCTTGCACGCGGCCAACCCAGGTTCAATTCCCAGCATCTCATATAGCTCCCCAAGCACTGCCAGGAGTGATTCCTGAGTGCAGGGCCAGGAGGAAGCCCTGTGCATCATAGCCAGGTGTGACCTAAAAAGCCAAAATAAATAAATAAATAAATGGTACTCAGAGAAACGGCTACAAACACAGACTGAGACTGTCTCCCATCTTGTAGGGCCTTTGTAAATTAAGTGCCTCATGGGATGCCTGGCTTAGGAGCTCTCGATCCTTAGAGGTCTGTTTGTCCTTAGAAAGGTAGAGGCTTGGCCTTGGGGTGATTAGCGTCTCTTCTGCTCAAAACATCTACCTCTTTGTTCTTTTTTTCTTTTTTGGGTCACACCCGGCAATGCACAGGCATTATTCTTGGCTCTGCACTCAGGAATTACTCCTGGCGGTGCTCCTGGGATGCTGGGAATCGAACTCAGGTCGGCCACATACAAGGCAAACGCCCTACCCACTGTGCTATTGCTCCAGCCTCTCTTTGTTCTTTTTTGTAGTTGTTGTTCCCCCTCCCCTCTCTTTGTTCTTTTTAAGATTCATGTTTTTACTCTCACGGTCCACGGTGGGAAAAAAAAATACTTAGCTTGCTATATAAAGCAAAGTAAATGAAAAGTATAGTAGTTGTAACACCTTAGGGCTGACTAGGGACGTGCACACATGGAATGGGAATCCAAGGCTGGGCTCTTTAAGTAAATCTCCTGTGACTAAACCCAGTAAAATTTAGAATGGAAAAGGGTAAGAAAAATGACGCTGGTAAGGCGTCATAAGGTAAGGTCATAGGTCAGTGGGAAAGTGCATTCCTTATATCTGTATGGCCTGGATCCAGTCCCTGGCAGCTGAGGGAAGAGAAATTGTGCTTTCATTTTACCTCAACTGTAATTGTTCTGTGGGCAGAAAAAAGGTAAATTTTCTCAACTGCTGGTAGATACTATTCTTTTGCAAAAAAATAACAATGATAAATCACACTATTTAGCAGCAGTCTTTACCTTAATCATCTAGATTTAACTTTATCTTGTTTACTTCTTTGTTTCTGGCAGTGCTCATGGGCTATTTCCAGCCTAGTGCTCGGCAATTGCTTCTAGTGGAGCTTAGGGGAATCGAACCTGAGTTTCCTATATGCAAAACGTTCATCCCATCCTGATGAATTATGTCTCTGGCTCTGGATTTAATTTGAATAGTAGGAGTTTCTCCCATTGAAATGTCAGTTAGGCTCACAAAATCATGTCAGCATCTTGCTGCGTTTCGGTCGGTTGTTGATGTAAAGCTGTATGTATGTGGACTCATCACTGGACGGAAATATCTGTTGACAGGAGCATTTGTCAGTGCCTCAGTGGGGGCACATTTCACAGGCCAGCCTTTCTTTAAAAACATGTGAGGGGACAGGAGAGATAGTACAGGGGTGAAGGTACTTGCATTATACCCTGGCATCATATATAGTTCCCTCAGCATTGCCAGGAGTAGTTCCTGCCAGGAGTAAAAGCCCTGAGTTCAGCCAGGTGTGAACCTAAAACTAAAAAATTCATAAATAAAAAATGTTTAAGTGTGTGAGGCTAAAAAGATAGCTCAAGTCAGAGCATATGCTCAGCAGATGCAAGGCCCTGAGGTCGGCCTTGCTCCCAGGCCCGGGTCCACCTGCACTGTGTGAGGTACCCACAGTAGCTACTCTCAGCCCCCCATGGACTAAGTGGCCCCTGTAAAAACACTACAATTTAAAGAAACCTACTAAAATTAAAAAGGTAAAATTGTAAATGACTTTAGGCTTAAAGAGAGCATGATGGTGAAGCTGTGAGACCAGCAAGTTTATTTTGAGGTGTTTATCATCTTTGCATGTTTCAGTATTCACTAAAGTTAATTATGTATTAACAAGTGGCGAGCAGATGCTGAGAGCCGTCGTTTCAAGTTGAAACGCTAGGCGTGACGTCCCATTAGTAGAAGCTGCCTACCTGCACTGAGGGATGACAAAATACTGCAGTCATGCCAATGATAGTTACAGTAACGTTAGGCCAGAGATGTGGCTTAGAAGAACACCTGCTTGCGTGTGTGATGCCCCGAGTTTGATATCTGTCACTGTTGAATAATGAAGTTTTTATTATCATGATAAAATTATTTTTTAATGTAACTTCAGAACTTAAATAAATCAGACCTTCAGTTTTAGACTGAAAAAACCTACAGTGACTAGAAATAATAGCACGAGTCAGGGGGTAGGATGGGGGTGGAATTCATGTCATGGGGACTCACCTCTTGACTGTTTCCAAACACATCTCAGACGTACGCTGACCGCCAGTCCAGCAAGCCGGAAATCCGGGAGGGGATGGAGCCTGTGGCCCAGCCTGAGGACAGCACCGCCACCTGCCACTGCCACGAGGGAAGTCCAGCGAGAGAAGAGCTGTGAGGCCTGGCAGCACCTGAGACAACGTCTCTTGGGGCCTTTCTGCAGGCGTGGATGGACCGAGCCGAGGAAAAGCAGGCTGCAGGCTGCTGATGGCTCCAGTGACAGCCAGCCTGCGTGGAAGCTCACGAGAAGACTCGTGAGGGAGAATTTTTAATTTATTTTCTATTTTAAGTAATTTTTTGTACTTTGGCACCCTGATGCCCAACACTGTTCATAGTCATATTTCAGGCCTACGGTGTGGTTACACCTCACCCAGAAGGGAGGGACTATTTTTTGATGCTCATTTACTTCTTTCTAAGTAAGTTGTCTGAAAGCCTAATTTTTTTTTTCTTCAGGGAAATGTATGGAATGCCGGGTTGGCCATGTTGCAAGAATAGTTGAAGAATTGTTGAATGTTAATTTTCTCTGGATAACTTATGGACTCAGATTGGCCATGCGCAGTGCAATACCTGTTGCACTGCTGCTCCAGCCGTAAAAGCCAAAAATATTTTCAAGTGAAATAGTGCCTTATCTAGGAATTCCATCTCCTTGGGTCGTTTGTACTCCTCCAAAGTCGAGGAGAGCCTCCTGTCTGTGCATTTCTTTCTGTTTTGGGGGGTGTCACACCGGCTATGCACAGGGATTACTCCTGGCTCATGCACTCAGGAATCACTTCTGGTGGTGCTTGGGGGATCATATGGGATGCTGGGAATTGAACCTGGGTCGCCCGCGTGCAAGACAAATGCCTACCCACCGTGCTATCACTCCAGCCACTGGTGCCTTTCATTATCTGCAGATTGATTGACTCAGCGAGAACAAGGCAAGTGGGCAACGTTCATTCTTTTTCTTCTCTAAAGGGGCACTTGAGGGCCTCTCCACAGGCTGCAGCGATCCCAGGCTCTTGAGAATCCTCTGGGAAGCCCACAGGTTTTCTCCCTCTGCCCTTGCTCTGGGCCACTGGGTTTCCTCGCTAACAGGAGCTCTGCAGGAATTTCCTTAGTCTTTGAGGGCAGTTCAGACTTAAAATCCAGAACTTTGTGATAGACTCCTTATGTTACCACCCAAGATTCGGCTCATTAAAAAACACACTCCAAACACAAGCACTGTCCACACTACCAATTTAAAAAGACTGACTTGGGGCTGGATAGTATCAGAGTTAAGGCATGTGGGATTTCAACCCCAGCAAAATCTTGGGTCACTCCCGAGCACAGAGCTAGGAGTAACCCCTTGCTACTACTGCAGTGCAAATCTCTGCCAAAAAATTCTACAAAGATGAATCCTCAGGGCTGGAGCGATATAGCACAGTGGGTTGGGCATTTGCCTTGCACTTGGCTGACCTGGGTTCGATTACCAGCATCCCATATGGTCCCCCAGCACCACCAGCAGTAATTCCTGAGTGTAGAGTCAGGAGTAACCCCTGTGCATCGCCGGTTGTGACCCCCCTGCCAAAAAAAAAAAATGAACTCTCTTCATAGACACCTTTCCTTAATGTGGAGAGCACTGCAACCTTTTTAAAGTAGTCAATTTTTTTGAAACCCAGTAATAACAGAATGTAATTTTATTTATTTTTTTTGCCACACCTGGCTTACTCCTGGCTCTGTGTTCAAAGATCACACCTTCTGCACCTGGTGGGCCATATGTGGTGCTGGGAATCAAACTGAATCTGTCACGTGCAATCCTAGTACCTTACCCGTTATACGCTTGCTCTAGCTCCAGGATAGAGAATTTAAAAAATATATAATAAGGAAAAGCAAAGCTACATTTGGATTATGCACATTTCCATGGGTTTATCTACATTTCCCTAGACAACCAAAGTCTGTTATCCAAGGAAAAACTAATAACCCAACAATTCTCAAAGTGCTAGGAAGACACCTTCCCAAATCCTGTCCCTTGACTGGTCAGAGTGGAGATTGTGAAAATAAGTTTGCATTCCCTTCCACTTTCCTGGCTTCCAACCCAGGATATTCCTGATGGCTACTTGCATTTTGATGGAAACATCTTCCAGTTAAAATATTTTTTATCTTCAACTGCCAGACAGGCCCAAGAGTTCAAAGTGAGTTGAGGCATACAGCTTTTGGGTTTGGAAAAGGAAGGGTATGCTTGGACAACAGGAGGCCCTGTAGAAAGGCTGCTTGAGAGAGAGGCCTTCACCTAGAGAATTCTCCAGCTCACCAGCTCAGTCATAACCTGAAAAACATTAGTTTTTCAGGACTTTCTGACACAAATGCAACTTGCTAAAAATGAAACTACGAAAGCCCTAATTCTTTTCATTTCAGTCACATTTATACTACTTATTTTTACTATTCCAATTTTCTTAAAATTATGTAATCTTCCAAAGGGGATAGGATATATTAGTGAGGATATACAAGTAAACATGATAACAGCATTAGTCTAGAGAAGCTAGCAACTTGGTTTTTTGGGGGGCATTGCAGTGTTGTTCCTTAATAAAATGTTGGGAACGCTAGCCATCTTAGGGAATAGGCTAAATTGATTTTGACACATCAACAAATACAGTGTAGCTAAAATAACTTCACTGAAACTGTGAAGTAATTCTAAAAATCCTCTTGTGAAAAATTTCTGACTTAAAAAATGTAGTTATGCAACAATAAGTATAATGCAAAATTATGTATAAAATACACACGTACATATCGTTCAAATTTTGGGAGGAAACTCATCAATAAATGAGGAGGAGGGGGTTTGTGACAGGAATTTTTACTTTTTGTTCTTATCATATTCAAAGTGTTTTTACTATAAGTATGAATCAGAGGGTAAAATAAAGAAAAATGAAGCTCTTGGAAAAGATGTGTTCAAAAGATAGAAGTTGTAAATAAATATTTATATTTTCTGTATGCTCTTAAATCTACTATACTCAAAATTTTATATCCTGGGACACAATAAAGAACATTTTCTAAATAAAATTTTTAAAAAGACATATTTGTTGAGAAAAAATTGTAACCACCTAGGGCACAGAATTTCTGCAAAGGGATTGGTCTCATTTTAATTCTATTTTTATAAATAAATTAACCAAAACTTCCATCACTACCACTCAATGTCTGGTGAGTAGAAATTTAATATCAGAGAAGATGTTTGAACTTGACATGGTGAATTTCAGTTATCTCAGATGAAGTAAGACAAAATGCAGTATCAGTTTGGGTTGCCATGGCAACAGGTCCACCTCAGATGGATGAACCATCACAGTTCTACTGTAAGTGCAAGAACAAAGTATGAGCAGGTTCCATCCGGAGTGAGCTTACCTCTTGGTCTGCAAACCAGCAGCGAGCAGCCTCTCATTGCATCCTTACCAGGCAGAAACCAAAAGCAAAAGTCCTGTGTCTAAAAAGCCACTACTCCCATCATATGGACTACACCCGAACCTGGGTGCCCACCAATGTCCTCTCTCTAGATACTATCACATGGGGATCAGAGCTTCAACACAGGGATTTGGTGGGGGACACAAGCATTTCCTGGGCGAAGACAGATACTTCCCAGACATACTGAGACCAAGGTTAGAAGAAATAGAAACTTGTTTGGAGGGAAAGAAAGCCATCTTGTGGTGGTGTGATATGTTTGTGTTTAAGCCCTGGAGAACAAAATTTGCCAAAAGGCAGAGTAAGGATCCCTCTTTCACACGTAGAACCTCAGTTTACATTTTTTCAACCACTATTAACTCTCACCTCATTCCAACCTCTTGGAGTCAACACCAGTAAACAATCCTGCAACATTCCTTAAATAGACATAGGAAAGAGATTGGTGTTCATTTATTCTATAGGGAAAATCGGGAGCAGGAGTGGGGTCTAGGGGCAGGGGGATGGAGATATGACCTGACTCCCCTCATAAGTAAGGGGAGAAGGGGAGAGAGATTGCCTGTTCTCTTCCACTGTGCAGCTAGATGCGCTGCAGTTCTGATGCTAACCCCCACCCAGATTCAGTGAGGCCCCAGGCTGCCCATGCTTCTTACAGATTCCGTGTGCCATGTGACAGCCCCCACTCAGGTACTATAATTAAGTCCCTAGAAAAACTCACGGGTTCCTTCTCCTTGCTTCAAATTCCTAATGTGAGTACTGATGCCTGCTTGGAGGCCCTGTAGTTTCCCAGCGGCCCCTGGCAGCTTCACCTTTGATTCACACTCATTTCTTATGTGTGTCCACTATATGAAGTATTTCTAAAAAGGCTCCAGGTGCACATCTGTGGGCTGTTTTACCCACTGTGAGCCCCTTAAATTTACGTTTTTAAACCCATTTTCTACCAGATTAAAAATTAGGTTTCTAGAATTGTTTTATTATACGTAGTTACTGTGTATAAGTGCATCATGGTAACATGCACAAAAGGGGACTAAAGTTCACATTTCCTGCATATCATGAGTCTAAACAAGTCCGGTGGAAGTTCAGTGACTCATTGAATTAATCTCCAGGGAATTTAATCATGCACCTGTTCTTATTACTTAAGGACAAATGTCTTCACTTCCTTCCTAGACTTTCATGCTCCTTACAAACCAACTGTATTACACGCAGGAGCATAGAAGGGAAATAGAATGGTCAGTTCCTGATATAGATTATTTGGTGTTGCAGTAAACAACTAAAAAAATGCCAAAGTCCACATTCGTGACTGTGTGACATCTCATACTCCAGACCACCGATGTGCCAAGAGTAGCACACCACATTTGATGGGGTATAAAATTGAAGGCAACCAATTTGGAGGGAAAAATTAAAATACATACATATTAGCACACAAGTCTCAACCTTTAACATGTTAGTAATTTCTTATACAAGGGCTCAATGACTTCAGGGTGAAATACAACACTCTTCATATACTTCATTTGATCATTTTTAGTGGATTATTCATAACAAGCAGAACAAAATAAATTATTTAGGTCCTGCTTTCACGGCAGGGTTTGGGGGGCAGGTTTGATATATGGTGGGAAGGTGTAATGGTGATGGGATTGGTGTTGGAATATTAAATGTAATAAGTTGTGAACTTTATAAAAATTAAATTATAAAGAATGAAACCAGACCACTATCTCACATTGTACGCAAAAAGATAATTCAAAATAAAGACGTGTGAAACCGAAAACAAAAAAAGTGACCAAAGTATGAGGTATTTAGAATTCAAACAAATGAAACTATGCTTTAGATCAGCAGTATTTTATTTAACTAAAGGCTCTCTGAAAATTGAGTTATTAGAGCGTCTGTCTTCACCAACTGGTTTAGGCATCGAATGCTACTGTTTAAATTTAGAAAAGGTGTTGGACTTTTTGAAGTACTTTTTGATCTGGAGCAAAAATCCCTAGAAGGCTTTTTTTTTTTCATTACAGGTGAATAAAACGTAAAAGAAT